TACATGCAATATCCTGTTTTCACATATTTCTCAAACAATTTTCTCCTCTGAAGAAGGGCTGCTTTCCACTTCCTTTACTAGAGTTCCAGCTTTCTGGTAGGTATAGAAGTATACCTTCCTGTGAGGGAACCAAGACCTTTGTCTTTGTTGTGTAGAACTGCAACAAAGGTGAGGCAACCAGAATTTTGTACTAGGGTTCAGGAAATGTAGGAGGCACCAATATCCCTTGTATGCCTTTAACAGGTAGAAACATCTCTACTGAGAGCATTAAACTCTCTGTTTTTGTTTGTTTTTCCTAATGGCTTAATTTACTTATCTTTGGATATAACTTAAGCTTTTTATGCATGTCCAAGAAAACAAATGAGTATTTAATTTCCAAGGAAGAAATGTGTAGTAAATGATTGTGTTTTATATTTACAAATTAAAAATTTATCTGGAAGAATGTTTTGAGAGTGACCACACACACACACACACACACACACTCCAAGTATTGTTTTGTGCTAACTTTTTCCAAAACAAAACTGTGTCCTGGAAGGCCCAATGGGAAGACTAGGAGCATCTATATATAGAACAAAAAAGGGGCCAAGTTATTCAGAACCAAGTGACAGAACACACGTCTATGGCTTCTTCTTCTCCTTTTTTTTTTTTGACCTGCTCAGAGTCACACAGCTAGTTAGTGTTTCACTAAATTTGAACTCAGGTCCTCCTGACTCCAGGGTGGGTGCTCCCTCTGCTACAACATCACCTACCTGCCCCACGTCATGGCTTCTTTAATGCACAGCTCCACAAGGTAGAGTCCTCCCCACTTGGGTTACAACACGTCTCTAGCTGGTCCAACACCAGACCCATGCGGAGCCAGAGGGACTCTTTTTTGATACTCTGTGATTTTTTGATTCGCATATTTAATCACCAGGTAGTATTGCTAGCACAGTACCTTTAACAGTTCTGTAGAAGCCTCTGCTGTCTAGCACACTTTGATAAGGAGGAAGTGCTAAGCCAGTTCTGTGCTCTTGGGATTCGCCTTCTATCTGCCAGGTCTACCTCGCCCTCAACAGGTCAGTGCTGGATTTGGAGTCAGGAAGGCCTAAGTTCAAATCCTGCCACTGACCCTTACTAGTTGTATGACCCTGGGCAAGGGGCAAGTCACTTAACCTTCCTCTGCCTCAGTTTTCCTCATCTGTAAAATAGGGACTATAAATATCACCTACCTTTCTGGGTGCTTGTTGGGATCAAATGAAATAACATGAGAAGCACTGTATAAACCTTAAAGCACTTATATGAATGCTAGCTATTATTATTATCTACCTAATCAAAATGAGCTCTGAGCCTCACCCGGTGGTTAACTCCACTTCATTCTTTAATATTGTCTCTACTTCAGTAAGTGCTAGTCATACAACTTTGGCATGATGATGTAGGCTTTGTACAGAAGCAGATAAATACATTTAGATAGGACATGCAACTACTCTTAACATAGAATCCATAAGCAAATAAATAGTACATAATGATGAGAGAACAGACAACATAATGAAATAATAAACCGGGCACCAAACAGCTTCCAGCACACTGCTCGTCCTGACCCTGGAAGCCTCATCAAACTAGGATTAGGCAATCACCTCTAGGATTGATGTGGACCTAGCACTTCTAGTCAGTGTTCCATTTGAGTCCTCCCTCAAGTAGGCAAAACAGTGTCATGGTAGTGCCCACATATGTTCAACTCACTTTTCTCATAGGAGTGGTCATCACCCCACATCCCACACACAGACTCTGGTGTTGGGCTCTTAGCTCATCCTGGAGCGTCAAACTTTCAATCTACTGCAAGATGGTGGCCATAAGGGTGATGATTTCTCCAGGGATCTCTGGCTTCTGACTTTAGCTTATGTCAGCCACTGAGGAGTGGTCAGCCCTAGTAGAGAGTCATGACTCATGGTCTTTATGTCCCTTTCTCCTGGACCTTCAGTAGGAGTGAGGGGAGTGCTTTCTGCCCCATCCATGTCTCACCATTTGACTTCCCATCCACCTCTCCCCCCATTCGCCATTGCTCCTGTTAATAGGATTGGGAAGAGGCAGACAACAATGTTTATTTCAATTCAAAACAGTTTTTTAAAAAATGCTTCTTATGTGGAAGATACTAGGTATCAAAAGAAAAATGAAACCATTCCTGCTTTCAGAGATGTAATATTTGATGAGGTCTACGTGTGGGAATATTTTAGACCCATTAAGATAATATGTGAATGTTTGTTGTTATTGTTTTTCTTTTATTTTTGAGGAGGACCAGTGACATCATGGAGTGATGACTTGTGTGTGAACTGGATTTAACTGAGGCAGAGTTGTGCAAAGTTGGGTGCCTCACTCTCTTCCACTCATCAAATCCAGGGGCAGGACAAAAGTCAAGATGACTGGGGATGGCTCGGGGTGCAGTGGACGACCTTGGCATCTTTGATGTCTGACCAACCTCTCATCACTCCACAGAGCCTGCTTCAACTGCCTTCATGGTCATGGAAACAATTGTTCCCAGCTGCCCATTTCCCATTCCACCGGGGGAATGCCTCCTTGAAGTAGATATTTGCTCAACTCATGTGTTAAGCTCAAAGGGGATACTAAAACAAAGTACTCTAGAAAAATGTGAAAAAAGAGAGAGAGAAGAGAGAGAGAGAGAGAGAGAGAGAGAGAGAGAGAGAGAGAGAGAGAGAGAGAGAGAGAGAGAGAGAGAGAGAGAGCCCATGCTTCTAGCTGGGGAATAGGAAGGAGTTAATGAAGGGACCATAAATTGAGGCTTGAGGGGAAAAGATTTTAACTGGTGGAGATGAGAAGTATTCTAAGCCCAGGGGATGGGCTGCGTGGATGTATCAAGGTGGGAAAGGGCAGAATGAGATTGGACAGCAGCTAACAGTTCAGTTTGGCTGGAATACAGAAGGTGTGGAGGGGAGTAATATGAAAGAAGGCTAGAAAGTGAGGCTGGAGATAGGTTACAAAGGACCTTAATTGCTAAACCAAGGAGGTTACATTGTATCCTACAGACAATTGAGAGCCATTGAAAAAGTTTTGAGAAATGGAGTGACAGGGCCATTTTGAAGATTATTTTGGCAACTCTGTGGATGGAATGGAGAAAGGGTTGACTAGAGGTAGGTAGACCATGTGGGAGGCAATTATGACAGCCTGGGTAAGAGGCTGTGAACGTATACATCTTCCTTATTGCAAACATAGCGTTTCATGTATTACAAATGGACAAGTTGGCAAAAACTGGAATTCTTAGTGTTAAATTGATCTTGGGGTTATACAATTAAATTTTTATTTCACACTATGGTTATAAAATTGAAGATATTTAGAGGAGGGGCCCAGTAGCTCTGTGTGTGTGTGTGTGTGTGTGTGTGTGTGTGTGTGTGTGTGTGTGTGTGTCCAAGGACCAGTTGAAATCATTTTTGAGTAGGTCCTTGGCCCCTGTAGCTATCAGCTACTAAATTGCAAAGGGAGTATGAGTAGTAGCATTGGAAGGAATGCCCACATCAGTTAAGATATAGATAATTGAAGTTGAGAGGCGATTCCATTATATTCCATCTCCTGCACAAGATGAAGAGATGAGATGATGAGAGAAGCCTGCCGAGGAGACAGAGAAGGCAAAGGAGGAGATGTGGCCAGGTGGAGGGTGAAGGTCCACGGTATTTTATGATGCAAAGAGGCCCAGCAGGATGAGAACAGGAGAGACCATGGGATTGAGCAATAAGGAGGTCATTGGTGGACTTAGAACTGTTTCAGTAGACTGTTGGCAATGGGAAACCATATTGCCACGGTGTGAGAAGGGTGTGGTGGTGAGAAGAGGCAGTGAATTTAGACTGGGCTTTTTTCAAATCGGGCAGCCAAGGGGAGAGACAGGACAGCCAGGTCCAGTTTGTTACCTTCTCCCCAAACACTGCAACTACCTGCACTCCCTCCCCCACCCCCTTCTTCCTCTGCCTGGTCACTCCAGTCTCAATCATCTGTACCCACTGAGTTAACACGGCATAATGGACAGCGACAGGCCCTGGATTCAAGTGTTGCCTTTGAAACGTATTAGCCATGAGACCTTGAGCAAGTCATGGAGTGCTCCGAGTTTTGCAAAACACTTTGCATATTATTTCTTTCGATCCTCACAACTATCCTGTGAGATAGATGTTATTATTCTTATTATTATTACCACTTTACAGATGAGAAAACTAAGGCTGAGAGAGGTTAAGTGACTCGTACAAGACCACACAGCTCGTAAATGTCTGAAGCAACATCTGAATTCAGGTCTTCCTGATTCCAATCTCACAGCCTATTTTGTGCCACCTGGCTGCCTAATGCCCTGAGCCTCAGTTTCCTTATCTGAAAAGTGGGGATAATAATACCTATAGCAGTTACTCCAGAGAGTTTTTGTAAAGATCAAATGAGATAACATATATAAAGCACTTTATAAACCTTAAAACATTCTATAAATATGAGCAAGCATCATTAATTAGTTTATTGATTACTACTGCCATTATCCCCCAGCTCCAATACAATAAGAACAACTTAAGATTTTGTGGTTCTACATTATGCCTATAAAATATCAGCCCACAATGCTTTGGGGCTCCTGAATAGTTATGGATGTGCGGGCTATCAAAAAAAATAGCAAGAACTACATTCTTCCTCATCTTCCCCTAGCAAACTTCCTCTCCCAACCCTCTCCCTGCCCCGCCAATCACCACCCCAGGAAATGTGGGAGAAGCTGCCAGAAAGATGACAGCAAAACCATTGTGGGCTGCTCAACTTGAAAACAAATCTATCTGTAAGGCTTCCTTTCATGTGGCCCTAGGAATGGGTGGGACACCTATAGCCTCAGCCAGGGTGGGGGACCAGGCATCAGTGGAGGCACTGGCCTGTTGTTTTTAGCTGTTTAATCTGAGGTAAGTTTACTCCTCTCCCCAACACCATCACCACCACCACCACCACCACCACAAAAAAAAAAAAAGATACACACACAATAAGGTGCGGGCAGGTTTTTTTTCTCCAACATAAACACTTTGTTTTTAAAATTATTATTATACAATTAACTGAACACATTTTACCTTCTGTTGAGAACAAATTGATTTTCAAGGTGAGGTCTTGGGAACAGAACACTTAGCGAATTCAGTTGAAACTGGCTAATGCAGGGGGCCGCTGGTATTGGGCAGCAGAGGATTTTGCTGTCCTAAGCAAATGATACTGGGAACTGAGAAAAATCCATTTTCCCCAAGGGCTAGATTTAAGGTTTCACATTGTCCCTCACTGCCTCTGACTTAGCTCTATACACTTATAGCACTCTGCAGTCTGACAAACACAAATCACAGTGCATGCTTATTTTCCCACTTTCCTTTCTTTCTTTTCCTTTTCTTTCTTTCTTTTTTTTAAAAATACAATTATCATCAAACACAAAGCAAGGCTGAACATTACCAAAGGCCTGACTTCCAATCTGGGTCTTTCCAAGAATGCCCACTCTAAGCCACCCATGGGAATATTTTATTTTCAACAGAAGGAGGAAAGAAATGACCACACTTGGGTTGCTATTGGAAGAATAACAAAAGAAATGTTTTCCCATTGGCAACCAGTTTTCACTACAGTAGCAGGGAAGCACTGGGCAGACTCAGTTTCCCTCAGGATTGCTTGATTCCAAGTCCCGCAAATATGAATCGATTATGTTTGGAGGAACACCTTGCAAAAGAAGCCTGCAGAAGGAAAGGCCACCTGCAGAGGAGGAGAAAAGGAAACAGTTCAACACAGCTGAGAGAGACAGGCTGACTCTATCATTGGGGGGCCTAGCTGCCCTGAGGAGGGGGGACAAAGAGCCTTGCGGCTCCTGCTAGGGCATCTTGTCCTGACTTTGGTGCTTTAAGGAAGAGAAACCAGCTGGCACTGGGAAGGAAGAGGCAAGTTTCAGAGCAGGCCTCCTAAGCACTCTGGATAACCAATTGTGGTTCAAATTTGGTGATTTCCAAATATCGGCTCCTGTTTGAGCACAGGTGAGAATGCTCTGCGTGTGTACATGGACGAGCCACACAGTGGAGTGAATTCACCTAGATTGTGGATGAACACCAAGATCCACTTTCACCTGAAAGGGGAAGGATGGAGGGCTCCATCTGTGATTTCCTTCTGGTGAAACTCCCTCCTCTACTGCAGACCAATATCTTCCCTTCAGTGTATAGTAATTAAGAGGCAGTGACCTGCCCAGGGTCACGTAGCTAGCAACCATCTGAGGTCAGACAGGAGCTCAGGTCTTCCCGACTCCGTTGGCTACTCACACGCCATGCTGCCTCTCCAGCTTAACCTTCAGTCTTCTAATTAAGTGGAGATTCCGACCCAGCACGATAGGGGCAGGTGGGGACAATGGGACAACTCCTGAATAAAGCCTAAATAAGCCAACCAGGATATCTTTCTTTCTTTTTTTTCTTTCTGGGGGCCAATATGGGGAAGATGATAAATTGAAAATTTATTAAAAATTGGATTCACTGAAAGTAATAGGACTGCCCTTGTATTTGGTGTGAATACCCACCGATCCCTTGTACTTACCTTTGTTTCTAAGTTTGTTTGTTTTCTAAAAAACTAAATCCTTTCGGAGAGAACCTTTTGGAACAACCTACCAAAACCTCTTAGGGAAGGGCTTCACTAATCTCTAACAGAGGTGCAATTCAGACAAAAGCAGCATGCTGTTTGACATTCTTAGACAACTTCCCCAATGCAAGTCTCAGAAAACCATTCTTTTCTTAAAATGAAAAAGAAAAAATCCAATCACGTCTCAGAAGAGAGGCTGCCCTTTGTTTATGGGTCCATTCCTTGATGCAGTTAGTTGCAGCATGCCGTCCCGCCGTCTCCAGCTACGTTCAAGGCCTCATGCTCTATCTTGTGACGTAAGCAAGTGTCTTAGGATGTCGGGGTTATTGTGATGGGTGAGTACTAGTGGTTAATTTCAAAGTTTCTGAAATACACGTTTAAACTACTCAGTTAGTGATTAAGGACATACCATTTTCATTAGGTCACATAATGAAAATCATGCCATACTCCACAGGCTCTGTATGGCTTATGACAGTCATAAGCTTCATAGGCCGAAACCATATGAAAGCTTACCTGAGATGACACTATACATTCAAAAATCCTTACTGCGCTACAACTAAGGGAGAGAGAGAGAGAGAAGTTATGAGCATTAATAAAGGGCTGACACCAAGGTGGATGACTTGTTGGATACAATTATTTTCACAGTTATGGTAGATGAGGAGATGATTTAATGAATCCTTAGTCATGTAAAAGATGGAGAAAATAGAAGCATATGGAAGATAAAGGCAGGATCCAGTACCACTTCAAAGGACTCATTAATATGGGAAAGCTTTATTAATAGGCAGGACGAAGGGAACTGACTCCGAGTCTTTGGCCTTAGCGGGATGGGACAGCCAATCAGAATGTGAGGTGGATGTTTATGGTAATAGCTTCCAAACCGTAAGCTTAAAAGAAACTACAACATATATATATGGCGTTTTTCAACAAAAGAAAAACACAGACATAGCACTATGATACATATATATATGTGGAAACTCAAAAAGGCAAAATTATCAAGTAAATCTAGGTTAGCCTGCGGGGCCTTGTCGGACAACCGTGCTCTGAGCTCGTTATACAGAAAGTCTCACGTTTTAAATTGCAGGGTTCGAATGAACAGAAGCCCTTAGCATACCCCTAAGCTAGAGGAGGACTGAGAGGAGTTCAGCATTAAGTGACTGGAATGAATGGCTATGACATGATACTTAGGATGTGAGTTCCTTTGTAATTCTAGTGTCTAGAAATGTGCCTGGCATGTCACCTGCTTGTTGATTGGTTGATTCCGGGATCATAGACATGGAATTAGAAAGGACCATGGAGTCCAAAGAGTCATTTTACAGATGAGGAAACCGAGGCCCAGGGTATGGCTAGTAGGTGTCTGAGGTAGGATTTGAACTCAGGTCTTCCTGCCTCCAAGCCCAGAACCTGATCTACTATACCACCTGGCTGCCTTTATGATTATAATCCAGAAAATTTATTTTAAAAGATAGTTTCAATTTCCTCCTATTTTAGAGGCTATAAATATAATTTCTGAAAGTTCATAATCAATCAATCAATCAGTCAGGAAACATTTATTAAGCACTGACTGTGCCGGGCATTATGGTAAGCTCTGGGGATGCACAAGGAAAATTTATTGTGGCCTCTACATCTGAGGGTGAGAGATCTTTTCTTCACCAAACTCACAGACCGAAGCTTAATTGATGCTTTTGGACTGGGAAGAATTGAACATAAAAATGTGTTTGTATCTACATATACATATATGAGCATACGCACACATATATGTAAATCAGTGATGTACATGGGCATTGAAGGTGTCTCATTCAGTCCGGCCCCTGATCTTTCAGGTGAGGAGGCCCAGTCAGATTCTGTGACTTATCCATAGCATTCTTTTCCTTCAGATACTCTACTTCACATATTTTGCATCCCAAATTAAAATGACTGTTCCTGCTTATGCTATGATTTGAAAAAATATATATATATATCACGTATGAAACAAACCTAGCTTTATACATGACACCCCTTCATGCAGGGTCCTGGAAGGATCTTGGGTTTCATTTAAGGACATAAATCTCCATGCTAATTTCAGCCACATGAAAATGTTCCAACAGCCTGGTAGTACTTGTTATAGACATAGACAGGGCTTGTCAAGTCCCTAAAGGTTAAACCTATGGCCAAAGGGTCCCAAATCCTCTTTCTAAAATGTGGGCATTGAAAGCTGCTCATACTCCCAAACCTCGCTGTGCAGTTAAAGGAGCTAATTCATAAACTCATCTTGAAGCAGTGGTGTCAGACTCAGATAGAAACAGGGGCTCTTATTCCACAGACTGAATACTGACTTGGTTTTAAATTGTGATATCATCTATGTTTTCTTGTATTTTTATTTGTTTTATTACATTTTTTTCAGTTATGTTTTAATCTGGTTCAGCTGTACTCGGGAATGCTGTGGGCCGCATGTTTGACACCTGTCCGAAAGGGTATCTAAGATACATGAAGACACTATTTTGTTGGTTCCCAAGCTTACAGTGGCCTTGTTGTTAAAAATAAGATGCTTCATAATTGTAGTTTTGTGATACGTTACGCTGCCTAACTCCCTACCTGCTAACTTATCTCTGTTAGTTTACTGTTCTTGAATAATTTGGCCTTCCTCACTCATGGCATAGCTGTTGTATGCCATGAGTACTAATGAGGACAGTTTAAAAGCAGAAGGAAAGGCAAGCTTTACATGCAAAACGCATTTTCATGTAAAATAGGAATGGAATGGAAAGTAATATCCAGTGGGATATGAATTTTTTAAACCTGTTGCTGCCCCGCCAAGAAGACTGGTTGTCCTGTGGTAATTAATCCTTGATATATCACTGCAGAATTAGAATAGTGGGACTGGTATTTATCAGTTCTCAGCCGACATTCTTACCTTTTACATTTTAAACAGTTTAACTCTGTTTAATCAGCTATTGCCTTCAGAACCAACAATGTTTTCCAAGCTATCAAAGCTCACATCACATTCTCATGAATTCACTGACAGATACATGATTTCCTAACAACAAAATGCTTATTTAAAATTCAAATGGCAAAGCATTAGGAGTGTCCCCTGTTTAATCCCCCCAAAATACATTTTTCTAAACTGCTTTTATGATATTATAATTTTATACAATTAGCAGGTTTCATTTACTTTCAAAACATGGTGTAGAGGAATTATTTTTTAGAAGGTGCCTTTCAAATTTCTACATAAACACTGTCAGTGTAATAAAAATAACAATGCTAACTGTCGAAATTAAGCTGAAATGGTATCAGTTGAGATGCAAGATGCAGTATGTTTAACTACTGGTTGTTTGGTTTGAATCCAAAACAAGTCTCTGGTTAAGTCAAGAAAGCAGCAGGGCAAATATTGGAATGACTGTCACAGCTGTAAAACTGTAAAAATCTAATATGCCTTTATATTTGATTTGAAAGTCACCTATTCAGAAAAAAAATAATTCCTGTTATGCATTCACAGTGAATATAAATTCTGCTATATAACCAAAGACAAAATCATTAGGAAAAAAATGCTTAAAATTAAGCTTTCATGACAATTCTTTTTTTTTAAAGGCACATATTCAATTCTCTGCCATATTTACTCGTTTGACTTTTTGAAGATCTTTTTACTAGATTTTTAGATTAAAAAATTCAATTTCATAGTTGAAATCCCTTGAGCATTTGTTCTTTGAATTTCAGAAATATACATCAAAAGGGAGTTTTTTCACGAGTAAATAGGGTTAAAAAAAACAACAACAACAAGCCACCCCAGGAACATAGGCTCATAGATGTGGGGCTGCAGGTGACTTCCAAGGTCATCAAGTTTCCACTCTCACTCTCTTAACCCCCTCTCATTTTACTGAGAAGGAAACTCAGACTTAGATTAAGTGCCATGGGTTGCACAACTAGTAAATATAGAATGAGGAGTTGAACTCAGGTCTTCCCGACTCCAAGTCCATGTCCCATTTCCTAGTTTAGAATTCCATCTTATAGAAATGTAAGAAAACCTCGTGTCCTCAAGAGTTTAATGCAACGAGAGCAAGAAAGGAGGCTTCAGGATCATGCCAGATGTTCTACTCATGGTCATCCTGTTGGTGGAAGGGGGTCGATGGAAACTCAAAACACACTCTGGTTTTCAGGAGAAACATACAGCATAAAGGTCATAACCCATCATGCTATGTCTCATGGGTAAACAAAAATACTTATACTTACTCGGGTATTTTTTGTTTCCCCAAAGAGTTCTTAGGACATTGTGGCCAAAGGGGCCATGTTGAATGGGTTCACAAAGAAGAACCATGATTTGGAAGTTATGCCAAGGAAGTCTGCAGTCCATAGATCCTTAAGCATCCTCATGGCTCAAAATGCATTTTTTTAAAGTAACGTTTTTCAAAACAAATACAAATAAAATGCCTCAATAGAAACACAAGTTCTCCCAGACTGTTTTAAATCAGCTTTTCAGATGACATCCCATACACGTCGCATGTTTTTAACGTGTTCTTGAGGACACCAGTAGCAGTTACCCAGGTATATACTATATCCTTCCCCCGATGTTAAAATGATTATTTGGCTCAAAAACTTAAAAAAAGTTAATCTTTCCTCTTGAATCACCATTTCGTTCAATAAATTCATTTCTCTGAGATCACTTTCTTGGGATGTCATCACTGTTGTTCCATCTATAGTCACCAAACTGCTCACACCTGGGCAGTCCACTGACGTCAGTCACCGTACCTTGAGCGGATGAGACTTACAGAGGATAACATAGACCCATTTTAAATGACTCTATTACTTACGTATGATACCAGCATGAAGGGAGATTTAAAAGCTTCCCCCCGTTTTAAACACGACAAACTCATTTTTTGTCTTTGGACTTAACAGAGATGATTAAAAAACGACAAGAGCAGGGTCTAGTTCGCATCAACACATTAGGAAGGTTTTTAGAGAGCCTACCTTTCACCTCCAGCTTGCATTCAGTTTCCACCATCCCCAGGTCATTGACTGCCTGGCAACTATAGGTTCCTCCATCATAGGGGCTGGGCTTACGGACCTCCAAGGTACAGACTCCTTGGTTGCTGAACATCCTGTATCTTGGGTCATTCACGATGGCAACTTTGTTTTTCAACCAGGTTATTTTGGGCTGTAATTGTGATAGGAAGGGGGAGAAAATGGAGGTCAATGTATGATAAACAATGATAAAAAGAGGAGCATCAAAGCCAATGAAAATAAGTTGTATCGATGGTTTTTGGTTTTACGTCACAGTCGTTTCCTTATGTTATCTGCACCCCTGGCATTGAACCCTTTCATTCTTTTACAAAGAAAAACACCTGAGCAACACTGAGCAGTACAGTGACCAAGCCTAACAATGTATGCGCCGCTCCACCGCTGGAGTCCCCCCTCTCTCTCTAGGACGGAGGGAGGTGTGTTTGCATCATCTGTTCTCCTAGACCACATCTGGTCACGACAAGAAGTCAACACTCAGCTGCTTCTCGGTGTGTAACACAGAATTTCAAAGCAGGATTTATAGGGAAAGAGGAAAAAGAAACCACAACAACATTTGTTATTGTAGTTGTGATCAGATTATATTTACTGTTTGTGCAGAGAATGCTCGTGAGTAGCGCTGGAGAAAGAAGACCGATTTATTCAGAGCTACTTTGCTAGAGCAGAGGGATGGCGCCCTTCTGCGGCTCTGTAGTGGCCCCGACATTAACTCATTCATCCCGCCTTGCAGGCAGACACTTCAGAAGGCATCGCTGCTGACTGCTTTTGCCTCCTCTCTCTATCCAAGGTTTTGTTAAGGCTCACAAAGTGTTTCAAACATCAAAGCCTGACAGACTGGGAGTACAAGGAGTGCCGGAGGAAACAGGCCTAGATGCATGAAGTGACTTGGTTTAGACAGTTAAAACCTCAGATCTAGCCTCAGATCCTGGCTCCAATCCACTCTCTCTTTCAAATAGACCCTACTCTCCTTCACTACAGAACTTCTTGTTTTTGTTTTTGTTATTGGGTTGGTGTTTTTTAGGCAATCGGGGTTAAGTGATTTGCCCAAGGTCATACAGCTAGTAAGTGTCAAGTGTTTGGTCTGAGGCTGGATTTGAACTCAGGTCCTCCTGACTTCAGGGCTGGTGCTCTATCCACTTGGCCACCTAGCTGCCCCGACTATGGAACTTCTTGGAGGGACAATCTCTCTTTTTTTTTCTTTTTTCTTTTTTTGGTTGGGCAGTGGGGGTTAAGTGACTTGCCCAGGGTCACAGCTAGTAAGTGTTATGTGTCTGAGGCCACACTTGAACTCAGGTCCTCCTGAATCCAGGGCTGGTACTCTATGCACTGCACCGCCTAGCTGCCCCTCAACATTCTCTTTTCACCACAGTCTCCTCCAGACCCCCGGGTCAGACTTCACTGAAATAGCTCTTCTTCAGCCGAATGACTTCACTTACTATCTACTAGCTGATCACAAAGCTAGGAAGCAGCAGAGATAGGATTTGAACCCCGGACCCTTGATACCAAAGCAAATGTTTTTTCCCCATCACACTATCCTGCCGCCTCTAACCCTCTCTTAAAAAACACCCCCAAACCACCTGGCTTTCCTGAAAAAAGCCAGCCCTGAGGGTTAAAGAACTGTTAGCATTCCCATATTGCTGTATTTTACGCTGTGTAAATAATTACTTATCCCCAGAAAAGAGAGAAAATAGCATTTGAAAGGCTAACATATTGTTTGTTTCACTAATAACATAGTAGCAAATGTAGAAAGCACACACAGTGCCACTCATTAACTCCAGAGGCACACCATGGCAGCCCAGTGGGGTCATAATAACCTTACGGGACAGGTGGAGAGCTGGAGGGGACCTCATTCTACAGATCAGGAAGCTGAGGCCCAGAGAGGCGAGGCCCCTTCAAAGGCTGGGTGGTCCAACCAGTCTCGCCTCCCAGATAAGAAGTGTTCTGGCCCAAGGTGACTTGGGCAGTGAGTGCCGGGGGCGGGATCTTTGAACTCAGGGCCTCCGATTCCTGAGACACTGCTCTTTCCGCGGTGCCATACTTTTAGCATCCTGTGGAGGCTTTGGTGAGACGAGGTTTGCCCTGCAGCCTCGGCCAGGGCGGGCTCGTACGCGGCCCGCGGCACGGGGGCTGATGGATCGTACCTTTGGATTTCCTCTGACGCTGCAGTTCAGGGTCGCGTTGTAGCCTGCTATGGCGTAAGTGTTCACCAGGGGCTGGGTGAACATCGGTGCTTCAGTGAAATCGAAGTCTTCATACACAGGGTTCTTGTAGACTTTTCCTAGGGGGGAAAACCACACACAGAGGGGAAATAATCTATGAAATAGCCTAAAAAGCGAGCATTTGGAGCGCACGCACTTCCCGAACGGCACGATCTCCAACCTCAAAGAAGCCTGGCAAACACCCGATGGCACGCGTGCAGTCCGTCCTTTGGTTTCCTGTATGCGTGCGTACGTGTAAGTATGCACACCCACAGGCATCCCTGTGCCCGGTCTGCCCCTTCCGCCTCCCCCGGACTAACGAGGCACTCATTCAGACACGCACTGAGCAGGAAACTAGAAGTCACTCCTCCTCTCCTTTCTATGGCCTTCCTGCCTAGGAAGAAGGATCGTGCATACGAAGGCCCGGGAGAGGTGCTAATGGGGAGCAGATCTAGGGCTGCAGGGGCCTGAGCGGCCTGGTGATCATGGGCGCGTAGACTGAGAAGTGAAAGGGAAATGAGAGGTCGCCTGGATGAGGAAACTGAGGGCTAGAGAGGTCAGTGGACGGGTCCAGAGTCGCACGGATAATACGTGAAAGAGCCTGAATGTGAGCGCACGTCCGGGCCGTCGTTTTTCAGGCGAAGAGCTTCCCCAAAGTCGTACAGGTAAGGAGTCAGAACGTGAGCTAGTAGCTTCTCTGAAGACAGATTCAGTGTGCTTTCTCCTACAGGAAATTCTCCTGACCAAGCAGTTAATGCTACAGCAAGGACTGAGAGACAAAAGCAAAGAGGACTCTGTCCCTGCCTCGAGGAGCTTACGTGCCAGATAGAGGCTGTATTCAGAAATAAAGAATCGTTGCCCGAACTCAATCTGCCCCTCCTCCCTGCCAGGCAAGCTAGGGTTTGTTTCATAAATGTCCAAGCCTCGAGGCAGCTTGTGTTAACGAAACAAAGATTTCTTCTCCCCTTGGATTTCTGCCTCGGCACATGAGTGGCCAAGACAGATGGCCAGAAACTGGAAAGGATTGAAAGGGTTGTGTTTTAAAGGACGGTGACTGAGAACTCATATTGGTTTTTAATACTACTTGTAACATCTCTGAACACTTACTTTATTTACTTTATTAGTTTAATGCCTCTGAATATGTAGTTTTCTTTTTTCGTTCCCAGAGTGACTTCTCCCCGCCCCCTCCAGCCCGACTCAGCTGTTCGGAGCCCAGGCTCCATCCAACCTCACCGTCCTTGGCAATCACAGCGCTCTCTTTCGTCATTGTCGCCTCCTCACTGAGACCACACATGTTTTCAGAAAACACCCGGAAGTAATATTCATTTCCTATGACGAGTTCGGTGATGGTAGCGTTTGTCCTGTGATAGTGTTCGATGACAGTGAACCATTCCTGGAAAACAGAGCCCACAAAGAGTCGGGTGAAACTCAGGCCTTCAGGGCAAGCATGGGTGCCCCCTTTAAAAAAACAAAAAGGTCTGTCTTTCCAGCATAGTGCAGTCAAAACACACTGAGTGTGGAGTCCTATGAACGGAGTCCAGATACCGACTCTGCTACTTGTCATTCAACAAAATTGTAGTAATATGATCATATAGCAATGTAATTTAAAATAATAACAGTAACAACTAATATAGCACGTTAAAGTTTGCAAAGCATCTTGGGTATAGGATGACATTTGATCCTCACAGAATCTCTGTGGGCCTGCTAGCCCACAGATGAGGTTCTTCAGATAAGGAAAATGAGGCTCGGAGGTTAAGGGTTCAAACAGCCAGCAAGTGTGAGAGCCAGGATTTGACCACAGGTTCAGCACCCTTACCAATGAGCGGTGCTACTTTTTAGTACCAACTTATCTATCTCTGGAAGCAAATTAAGGTAAATCACTAGAGAAAAATTAATTATCATTTATAGTAACAAACTGGCTTAATTATAATATTAACAAATGAGCACTAGTAGTTGTATTAAAATAACAGTTACTTTTAATTATCTCTTAATCATTCAGAGTGTCTAAGTTTTTTATGACTGATAGAATATATATATATATATATCTATATATATATATATAGATATATATATCTCCTGTCACTCACATTTAGTACAGCTGATGGAGAAAAAAACTATGCATATATGTGTGTGTGTGTGTGTGTGTGTGTGTGTGTGTGTATAAATACACACATATACACATATAGGGGGCATTGTAGATAAAAGGCTAATTAACAAATGTAATATATTTTCTACATGGGTAGAAAATTCCCTTCTTTGCAGTTTTGGTATTTTAAGTGAGAAAAAGACCATTTAAGTCAAATACTCATTTTATCAAGTATAATGAAACAAATTCACACAAGGTCCAGGCTCTAAAGAATACTCTTTTTCACTAAACTGGAACTGGACCCAGACTGACTGGGAAAAACTCAACACTCAGAGTTAAAAGGGGTGGTTTGGCTGCTGCCTGGGCAATTAGGGATTCTCTCTTCCCTGGCCACTCTCTGGTCACTCTGTCTTCTCTGCTCTCTCCTCTGCCCAGCTCCAGATGTCTAAATGACGGCCCTTTTACAAGAGTGCCATTGGGTTTGCTAGCTGACCTTGTGCCGGCCTTTGAGTGCTATGGGCACTGACCTGACAAGGATAGTAGTCCTGGAAATATAGAACCAGAGGGGGATTATCAATTGTCAGCAGGCTAAGGATATCATGTTAGAATAGCCAGTGACTGGGGAAACAAAGATGGAGCTGTTATTACTGCTATTTTACAGTTGAGGAAACAGAGGTTAAGTGACTTACCCAGAGTCACACAGCTAGGAAGGGTCTGAGGCTGGATTTGAACTCAGATCTTCCTGATTCCAGGCCTCATGCTCTATCCATTGTACTACCCCACCAGCTGCCCAGAATGGCACAATACTCAGAATTATCACCTGGGGACACCTGAGGGTATGGCTTCCCTGGGCCCCTGCGCTGAAGCACACACCCTACATAGCCTATGCTAGGAGTTCTTCACCTTCCTTGTGTCATGGACTCACCCCTTGGGCAGGGGCTGGTGAGCCTGCGAGCCCCTTCTCAGAATCATGGTTTTAAATACAGAACATAAAATACATAGGAGTACAAAGGAAGCCAGTTACGTTGAAATAGTCATCAAAATATTTTTTTACAGCGCAAGCTCACAACACTGTACACAGTAACAGCAACATTGAGTGATGTTCAACTATGACAGACTTGGCTTGTCTCAAAAATACAATGATCCAAGACAATTCCAAAACTACTCATGGTGGAATATGCCATCCACATCCAGAGAAAGAACTGTGAAGTCTGAATGCAGATCAAAGCACACTATTTCACTTTCTTTGGGTTTTTTTCATGTTTTTTTCCCTTTTGTTCTGTTTCTTCTTCCACAACATGACTAATGTGAAAATATGTTTAACATGAGTGCACACGTATAATCTATGTCAAATTGCTTGCTGTCTTGGGGAGTGGGGAGGAAAAGAGGGGAGGAAAAAAATTTGGAACTCAAAATCTAATGAAAAATTAATGTTGAAAACTATCTTACCATGAAATTGGAAAAAATAAAATACTATTTGCATAAAAAAACCACGTTCGCAAAACCCCAGATGAAGAACCCCTGGCCCAAGCGCAATGTGGAGCAGCTGTAGATGGTTGTCATTTGCAGGAAAGGTCCTCAGGGTCACGCCACTGCTGAGAAGGGAAGGCTGGTGAAAACGCCGCAGCTCATACTTTGTGGACCCTTTTGCCAGGTCTGTATTCAAGTGCTCTGAGGATCAACATTTAGAATTAGCTTTGAATATGCCCTTTCACTATTTTTGAACTTGTGATTTCTGGCACAGCCCGCAGGTCTTAGGAAGTCTTAGATGCTCAGACACATAGCTTGTAAGTCATCCATCTGCCCAACTCCCTGGAGGCCCATGTTTTGATGAAAGATAATACTCCAGATACCAAATCTGATCAAAATATGTAATATCTATCCAGAAAAATGAAAAGAAGATGAAATATAAAAATAGTCTGCTCAGACAGAGATTTCTGAAACTCCAGAGTTCTGCTTCCTTTGGTCTAGGATTCTAGATTTAGATCTAGAAGGGGTCCTTGGAGTCATCTACTCCATTTCATTTACAGATAAGGAAATTGAGGCACAGAATGTTGGAGTGACACCCCAAGTCAGCCAGGTAGTAAATGTCAGACTCAAGATTTGAACCTAGTCCTCTGTCTCCAAATTCAGTTCTCTTTCCATAGCACGTTCACGCTGCCCTTTCCAATTTTCTCCTTGTCTCCTATTACTTCTATGCCTTTAGTAAAGACACCCACGCTGAGAGGTATTAATGCCAAAAGACTTTCTATCAGTAATAGGAATGATTTTCAACCACAGTCGACCCATACTCCACACCAGGGGGCTGTATGGGGGGAAATGCACACCCCCACACACACGTGCACACTCACACACCCACACCCACGTGCATACACACACACTCTCACACACCCATACCCACACACATGCACACACACACACTCACACACACACTCTCACCCCCCCCCCACGCTCTGTTTTACGCCACTCCCTGTGGCCACTTCACCATTCAGTGGGTGGTCTTTCCTCGCCCTCTGGTTAGGGTGCTCAGTCTGCTGAGGAGCCCCTCCACAGCTGTCTGGGCTTATCAACACACAGTGGAGTTAAAACACCAGGGTCACAAATCTAGAGTCAGAAGAGATCTCAGACACTCTAGTCCAGTTCTCTCATTTTACAGATGAGGAAACTGAGGCCCAGAAAGGACAAGTGACTTGTCTAGGTTGCAGTCTGGCAAGCATCCAAGGTAGGTTTCAAACCCAGGCCCTCTGGAGTTCCTGTCTAGCAGTCCATCCACTGTGCTACCTTTTGAAGCCTTTCCCCCTCTGTGCCTTGATAAGCTAGCAGAATAGGACTTTAGCATGGTACGCTGGAAAGATCGTTGGCTCTGGAATCAGAGGACATGGGTTCGAGTCCTGACTCTGACACTTACTGCCCACATGACAACCCCCCCCCACCTGGCCCCAGCTTCCTCCTCTGCAAAGTGAGGCCACCTCTGAGGTCTGCCTCCAGCTCAAGGTCTACAGACCTACTGAGAAGGGAGGCGGTACAGTCACCTGACTTTGTTCACTTCATCTTGAAGAGACCAAATCTCCTCTGCTAATGTTTGGAATAAAGCTGCATCGGGTCGCGAGCCTGGAGACTTCTCAGAACATGGAATGAAAACTTCACTGCCTCTTACTGGGAGTTGATTTTCAGGGGCTTTGAGGCAATCCAGGGGTGTCTTAACTCCCCTGCACTTAGGCAGAAACTTCAAAAGACCTTTTTTCACATTGAAGAGTCCAGGAAAGCTTCTAGAAACTTATCTGACTTTGAAACACAAGAGCCTGGCAGTGGGTAGTGGCTCTGACCTGATGACCTCTCCCTTCTCTTCCAAGTCTGAGGTGGTAATACAAAAAATGCAAATACTGAAAGGAAGGGCAGTGAAAAGGGTTTAGGTTCTCACTTCACTAGTCTGTCCAAAGAAGGGGGTGAACTCGACAAGGCCAGCTCTAGTGCCAGTGAATAAGCCCTACAACTCGTCAAAAGATCCGCAGCTGAGTCTTCAGCTTTTATCTATGTAAAGCTCTGTACCAACATTAATTTCGTGCCCTGTCCCCAAATCATTTTGTATTTATTTTTCAATTTTTTGGTGAGTACTTGTATTTGTGAATATTTTTGTTTTCCAATAGTAGACTGAAAGCTTCTTGAAGGCAGAAACTGTTTTGTCTTTTCGTATCCAGCTTCTAGCCCAAAATGGTTTTTGAACTGAATTGAGATCATCTGACAATATGTTACAAAACTGACTTTGACCCCATGGTCTCATTGTTGAGATCTATCCTAAAGATATCATGAAAGGGAAGTAAAGGGTATCTTTGTATAAAACTATTTGTAGCTACTCATGTGTCATAGGAAAAACTGGAAAGAATATGAATTTAAATGAATGAATTATGGCAGATTAATAGCGTGCCATATTACTGTGGTATTAATGGAATAGGCATAATGGTGCTGTCAAAGCGAAAGACACACACAGAAATATGGCATGAGGCTGTAAAGGGATGCAAAGGAAGATCATCAGGTCCAGGACAGCACACACATGATAATGATCTAAAAAAAAAGAAAGAAACCCAGAGCACCCTAAAAGCGATGAGCTCAGATGGTGGAAAGGGAGATGGAGCAGACCTATTTTTAAGTTGATCCTGGGTTAGCCTGCCTTTATTCTGTTAAGATGCGTGGTATGATGCTGCTCCCTGCCCCTCACCCCGACTCTTCTCTCTCTCTGGCTAGAAGCAGCCTAGGGTAGTGGAGAGAGTGCTGCCTCTGGAGTCAGGAGGACCTGAGGTCGAATCCCACCTCAGGTACCTTCCTAGCCGTGTGACTCTAGGCAAGTCATTTAATTTCTATGAAGGGATTTCCTTGGAGTTAGCTTCTAGGTCAAAGCTGAATTGTTGAGAGTTGTGATTTGTACATTTGGGTTCCCTAGGCATTGGGTCATATTGAAAAAAATCAAAGCAGATTTTTAGTGATAACTTTGTGACTTAAGTTCAGTGACCACTTCATCCTGGACAGTATCTCACCAGCCACACCTGCCCTCCTCCTTACAGCAAGTCAGTGTTGCAGGCAATCTAGTTAGAAGCTGTTGCTTTCCAGGTGAGAGGTGATGAGGACCTGTCTGTGTGAGTGAAGAGAAGGGAATGGACATAAGAGATGTTGTGAAAGTAGATGTGACAAGAGATGGCATAGATAAGATTGACTCTACAGGGAGTGTAAGAGAGGAATTCAGGATGGCACCTGGTTGGGAGCCTGCTGACCGCAAGCATGGTGGTCCTCCAGACAGCATTAGGGAAGGGCTTGCAGAACCCTGGACATCTCATTTAATTTTTCAGCATCTCAGTTTTCTCCTCAGTACAATGGAAACAACATTACTTATATTCCTTACCTCATGAGACTGTCATAACGCTCAAATGAGCCAATGTCTGTATGGTGTTTTCCAGACTTTCAGGTGTATAGAAATGGCAGCAGAAATGACTATTTTAGCCAGGGGACATCTTTGCAATTACAAGTCAAAGAACTCTGACAAAGAGGGAATTTCTATTTCTGATTCTTCATAGAAGAATCTCCAACGAACATTTAGTAATTCAAAGCACTTCCTCAAAAGTAACCTGTTCAATATAAACAATCCAGTTTAAAAATTCTGGTGTTACTGGATTTTTTTAAAACGATAGGTATTAAGATACACTTCACATTTGGCAGTGCGTCTGAAAGGATGACACACGTTCTCCTGTGTATTTCCCATCCTCCGCTCTCACTTACATTGCTGCCGAAGAGAGCTGGGGAAAGTCACAACTCTGGTTACATCACAATTTGATGTTAGCCAGCAAGGCAATCCTGCCGTTCCTCCCTCGCTACTTTACCGAGAAAACTGAGGCCCTTTGCTGTGAGCCCTCTCTTCTCTCCTCTTCATCTCAAACCCAGTGGCATTATCTCCCATTATCTCTTCCTTCTCCTAATCCCTGATAATGAAGTATCAACCCTCTCTTTGTCAAGGCCAGTATCTCTACTAACACTCCCCAGATTCCATCCCTTCCCAGTCAATTTCACTTTTTTTGGGGGGGGGAATTGGGGTTCAGTGACTTGCCCAGGGTCACACAGCTAGTGTCAAGTATTTGGTCTGAGGCAGTATTTGAACTCAGGTCTTCCTGACTTCAGGGTCAGTGTTCTATCCCCTGCACCACCTAGCTGCCCCAGCACTTTTAATCATTTGTCTCTAATCTTCAACCTTCACCTACTGATTCCTTCTCCACTGCTGCCTTCAAACATTCTGAAATCTTAGCCTTAAAAAACCTTCACTAGACCCTATCATCCTTTCAAACGATCATCCTGAGTCTCTCCTCCCATCCCCAGTCAAACTCCTGGAAAAAGCTGTCTCTGCTTGTAACTCTCCCCCTTCTCCCTTCTCCCCTCTTTGTAATCTGGCTCCTGACCTCATCACCCAAAGGAGACTGCTCTTTCCAAAGATCTCTTACCAACGATCTCTCCATCTCCTCATGCCCTTTTTGATCTGTTTGCTGTATTTGTGACTGTTGACCCTCTTCTCCTCCCGGACACTCTCTCTTCTCTGGGTTTTCACTCTACCCATGTGACTGCTCCTTCTCGGTGTCCTTTGCTGGCTCATTATCTGTATCGTACCCCTGCCGGTGACCTCCCCAAAGCCGTCTGGGCTTGCCTTCTTTTCTCTCTCCACATTCACTCTCCTGGTGGCCTCAGCTGCTTTCTGAATTTAATTCTTGTCCCTGTGACGATGGTTCACAGATCTACATACCGAGCTTCAGACCCACAGCACCAACTTCTTATTGAACATTTTGAACTGATTGTCCTAGAGATATCTCATGTCTAAAACAGAACTTCTCCCCTACCTCCAAGCCCTCTCTTCTTCCAAAAGTCCCTGTTTCTGTTGAAGGCCTTGCCATCTCTTGATTTCCCCAGATTCCTAAGCTTATTGTTATCCCCGACTCCTTTATCTCCCTCACTCCAATTGTCAAGTTGCCCAATCTTGCAATTTCTACCTTCACCACATCTGTTGCACTGAGTTTTTTCTCTCCCCTTAGCTCTCACCTTTCACCAAGACGTGTGCAGTGGCCTCCCCATTCCCACCTATTCAAACAGCTGCCAGAATGGTTTTCCTTAAACCTGCATCTGACGGTGGCTTCCCTGCTCAGTACGCGTGGGTGTCTCCTTCTTGCCTCCTCTGTCCAGCTTTTAAAGTCCCTGCCCCAAACCTCTCTTTCCAGGCTCCTGGACATTAGTCCTCCCCTCCTGCTCTTTGATGCAGCCGAACTGGCCTTCCCTGTGTTCCTCACATAAAGCATTCCATCTCTTACCTCCCTGCCTTTGCATTGGCCCCCACACCAGGAGTGCCCTCCCTCCTCACCTGTGCCTCCTAGAATCAAGTCCCAACCTCCACGCAAGGCCTTTCCTGATCGCCCCCACTCCCAGTGCCCTCCCTCTCTAACTGTTTTGTGGTTTTTGTATTTATTCTCTCTATATTTATTCTGTATGGACCTCTATATGTGCTTGTCATCTCCCCTGTTAAAATGTAAGCTCCTTGAAAATTGCTTCCTCGTTTGTATTTGTATTCTCAGCACCTACTAGCACAGTCCTGGTCATGCAGTAGGTGCTTAATAAATGCTTACTGGTTGATTCATTTATTTATATGCACACAAAGACACACATATATTTCACCAGTGAAATTAGTACAAATTTGAAATAAAAATTTTTTCTCCTTGCTGCTTCAGAGAAATAAAAACTTACCATACTCTTCTTGTCAGCTTTTTGAATTGTGTACCCTGTAATGGCAGCATTTCCATCATCCTTTGGTGGTGTCCACACCAAGGCAGCATTTTCTCCCCAGACATCTTCAATCTTCACAACTTGGGGTGGGCCAGGACGGTCTGAGAAAACAAAAGGCACAATGTTACAGTCAGGCCATTTCCCACATATCTATATCTATCTATATCTATATCTATATCTATATCTGTATCTATATCTATATCTATATCTATATCTATATCTATATCTATATCTATATCTATATCTATATCTATATCTATATCTATATCTATATCTATATCTATATCTATATCTATATCTATATCTATATCTATATCTATATCTATCTATACATCTATCTATTTATCTATCTTTCTAGCTATAGTTGTCAGAAGAACATTTCTGAACTTCTTTCTTCCCACTTTGAATAGTACATAATCTGGATGCTCATAATTTACTTTTTTGAGAAAATGTGCTTTCTTTTACACCACAACTATGGCATATCTCAAAACATATTACAACCTCAATGCTCTTCTTCATTTAAAAAAATTTTTTTCAGCCAGAAAAGCATGGTTAATATAATGGTCTTACATAAATTAGCCCCAAAGTACTGACTTTTGCCATAAGAAATCGCTACTTTGGGTGCAGGGGGGAAGGCAGTCAAAAGATGAATTAGAAGTTCCAACAAGAATTCTTTACCTCTGCTAGTCTTCAACACACTTGCTGACCTTGCCGAAATGATAGAATGACAGAAGTAGAAGGGACTTTGGGAAGTCATCTCCTTCACTCTCCTATGCTTAGAAATGACTATAATTTATTGATTATGAAGAATTTTCTGTTAGCAATTTTCCAAATTTTGGTTAGAGATTAGCATTCTAGAAGATTGTTAGAACAGCAAGGAAGGCAGGGCCGTTGAGTTGTTGAGGTTTGCAGTAGCTCTGAGGCTGGATATAGAAACGTCAGTAAATGACTCAAATCTATTCCAATAATGAAAATCTAGAAAGAATCCATAAAACTGCTTAGAGGTGGTAATTCCCCTTTAGAATAGTACTACAGGCAACAACTGAAAATTATTTGGCGATTGGGAAAGGCTCATGTTGTTGTTTAGTTGTTTTTCAGTCACGTCTGACTCTGTGACCCCATTTGGGGTTTTCTTGGCAGAGATACCAAAGTGGTTTGCCATTTCCTTCTCCAGCTCATTTTACAGATGAGGAAACTAAGGCCCAGGGTTAAATGACATGCCCAGGGTCACATAGCTCGTGAGGGTCTGAGGCTGGATTCGAACTCAAGGAGATGAGTCTTTCTGACTCTAGGCCTGGGGCTCCATCCACTGGGTCACCTAGCATACCCTCATGCACCTGGACATAATTTTTTGGCAAAATGAAAAAAAAATTGTAATGTGAAAAATTGGGTGGTGGGTGGAAAGGGAAAGAGGAACTCGTTTGTTTATTAAATTTTGGAATTTTGTGTAACTGGTTTTCTGAAAGTGGGGTATAGCTGCATTAATTTTTTTTTAAAAAGCCTCATTTCTATACTTGCTATTATCATTGGTAAAATTAGAGCTCTATATAGCGTTGACAAAAATATACTGTTTTCTTTAAACCTACCAACTATCTGAATATCTATGGTGGCAGTCTCCACATATTTGTCCACTTTCACTTCCAGATTGTATTTCCCTGAGTGGCTCCTCTCTGCTTTTCTGATAAATATGATGGTGTCCGTTTCAGAGTTGCGTATGTTTATTTGGTTCTTATCTATATCAGCACCATCCTTCTTCCAAGTTAATGCTGGCCTTGGTTTTCCCTAAAAAGAAAAGAAAAGAAAAATCCAAAGCGAAACAAGGAAGCTACTTAACATGGCAGTGTTCTTTGAGAATACACAAAGCTAGAAGGGATCAGTGGTAGGTTTTGAATCGAGGTCCTCCTGATTCAAGGATTTATCTTCTGTGTTATGCTGCCTCGACGTGTATTTTGGGGCAGCAACAATAAAAATGGTCAATACATTCAGGTCAGTTCAGAAGGGCTTAGGCTGGTGGTCAACTACATAAGGCAAGCCCCCACCGAGTCTCACCCTTCCACGAAGGCACAGATACTGGCAAGGGAGGGGGCTGGCACTAAGTAGAAACTGATTTTAATTTCATAAGCCACATAGAATTTGGTGGGTCAAAGTGATTTCTGAAAATGTTTTTTGAAGACATATATAGGCACATATTTGTATGACTCATACAACCGTCTAAAATTCCTGATTATACTTCTAGTGGATTAGTTTTAACCTAAAACCAGGAAGCCCCTTCCACAGCAGAAAGCATAATTTTCTGAATCTTGGGCTTTGTTCAAAAGGACAGCCAGGTTTCCAAAATCATAGAGCTAGAAAGGACCTTAAAGCCCACCCCCTCCCCTTACCTCCAACTTTAAAGTAAGAACAGACCTAATCCATCTCAGACAGAAAAGCAATTTTCCTTGATTCTGTGGGCTTTGTCCAAACCAATTTCAGTGTTTAACGACCTTCCCTTTCAGAAAGAGCTTCCTTATGGTTAGCCTAAAACCCACTGTCACCCCATCCCCATTTCCTAACATCTTGGACCAGATGCCCTTAGAACAGAGAAAAGGCTTCCATGTCATTGTTACCTGGAAAGGAATGACAAGATTTACGGCCTCTCCAACTCTTCGAATATAGGTTTGCTTCAGATGTCGAGGGATACGAATCTTGGGAGGTTCTAATGGAAGAAATGACATTTTTGAACTGTCAGGTTTTTCCCAGACTATGTGGGAAATGAGCACACATAACAGAAGGAAACAGCAAACTTCCTGGCAACCCACATGGAGATATTTTCCATTGACCAGGTCTGCGCAGCTAGCGGCTCATCTACACCATGTTTAGTCAAAGCGTTTTCTCTAGATGGAACTAGTCTGAGATCAAGCAGAACCAAGGTTTTCCACATGGCAATACTTCATGTACTTGAAAGCAGCTATCTCATCTTCTCTAAATATCTTCTTCCCTAGACTTAGTACCCCTCATTTCTGCGTAGCATGGTGTCCAGCTCCATCACCATCCTGCTCTTCTTCTCCGGTCATTCTCCATCTGCCAATGTCCTTCCTAAGAGAGGCTGCCCAGAGCTGGACAAGATGCTTCTGATCGAAGCTGAACAAGGAGAATGCAGTAGGACTAGTCCTCCATCACCTGCCTCATCGAACACATGATGTAAAATGATACAGGGAATCTTTTCAATGGTGCAGAATACAACTTGCTCACTATCTCTGATCTCATCTGATTTCTGTCCATGTCTTTTTATTGCTCTGTTGGGGAAGAACTACCTAACCCATGTTCGAGGTACTTTGCAAAGTATTTTTAAAAACTTATTATTTATTTACTTTTAATGTTAAAAAAAAATCGAGCTCTAAATTCTCTCCCTCCTTTCTGCCCCTCCCCCACCCAATGAAAAGGCAAGCAATTTTGATATCAATTCTACATCTGAAAGCTCCATTAAGTCTTTTAACACTCTATATGCCAGCTGTTATGACTCTCCTTATCCAAGTATTAGCTTTTTTTTTTCCTGGCTACTATGTTATATGTTGGCTCATAGGGAACTTGTAGTCCACTGAAAACCTCAGATCTTTTTCACTCAGGACCAATGCTCTTTCTTCTTGAACAGAGCTCAATGGTTCTTTGATTTCTAACTCCTGGGAGCCATCGGTAAATATATCATTTAAGGAGAGAAGTCATGAGAAGATTCAACATGGTGAAGGGATACAGGAGAGGAGGAAGGAATGGAGGAAGGGACAGGTGAGAAATAAAAAATTGTCATAACTTACCAATAATCTCTCTGACCAGGATTGGTTGTCCATAATATTTGGGTTCACTGGCACCAGCAGCATTCACAGCCTTCACTCTCACAAAGATTCTGGCGTCCGTTGGAAGGCCAGTGATGGTGAATTTAGTTTTGTCAGTCAGTTCTGGGTTGGCCACTATCCAGTCCTCCGCTAATAAGTAAAAAAGAAAGGAAAAAGAAGCAAGAATTCTCTAGTTATTCTCATGCAGTATTTAACCTGAAGTCTTAGACAGTGGAAACTCCAAATTGTATTTTAATATCAATAATGAAACCAGGGCATGAGACTTTGGGTCTAGACACAGAGAAAATGGCTAGACATTTAAAAAATTTAAATGGAAAATGGCATTAAAATGGTTTCATTTTGAGGTCTCAGATAAATAGCTATTGGAAGGGAATTCTGAGATTTCTGAATACCCCTCTAATTTTCTGGTTATACGATATAATGTGCAGTCTATAATAGCAGCAGAAAGTCAGCTCTGCTAGGGCGAGGACTGCTTGGTTTTTGTCCTTCTATTCCCAGCACATGCATACTACCTTGCACACAGCAGGCACTTCATAAACGCCTGATGAATCCAACTGAATCTGTTATTTCATTGCTGTGAGTACGTCCGCCACCAATGAGCCCTCTGGGACTCGGCAGATGGTCACTGAAAGTGCATATATCTAAAAAGAATCAGCCCCCGTGGCCAAGGCACCTTACTTGGGTTGGCTCTTGGGAGACAGAGGCAGATAGAGTCTAGAACCAGGCCTGTGGTCAGTGTTTTTCTAGCTCAGCGGGTACTGTCAGCACTGGGGCTTTGCTGGCCTGACATCTGAGGACCTCAGGTGCACGTCCATAAGAGGACACACCAGAAGGGGATATTAGGTACCTATAGCACTCTTCCAATTGTTTCCTCTCTGTGGTTCGATAATAACTGATAGCATCATTCCACTTAGCTGTTTGTATTCTTCAAAATTCAGAAAGCAATAAAAAGTGCCGATACGGATGACGAAAGCATTCGCATAATTTATAGCTATAAACAGTTACGTACGCTTCCTCTCTGCAAAGGGCATCGCTGAGACTCAAATATTAGGGTGGGGAACCAGATTGGAGACTGATGTATGACTACTGGTGAGGAGAAAATTTGGTCCATTGGCTAGGTAGCTGATCTGTATTTGCTATAATTCAGAGCATCATAGCTTTAAAGCCAGGCAGAAGCTTAGAGATGACCAAGTCCAGATGAGATGCCTAAAGCCTGGAGGTTACGCAATTTGCCTAAGATCACATGGGGAGTAAGTTGAAGAGCCAGAATTTAAACCCAAATCCCCAGTGCTCTTTCTTTCCTCTGCCTAAAGATCTCAAACACTTCGAGGTTCCACCCCTAAGCCCACCCCCAGCCCCAAGTGAGGAGGTGGCCCATCCCCAGCTGCAGATGAAGACGGTTGCAAGCATTCCAGTCTCTATGCTGCTTTTTTGCAGTTATGTCCCATTGGCTGCACAAGGATGGGGTGAGAAGACTTAGGTCCCTAAACTTCTAATCTGATTTCTAGGGGCTCCTATATGTAGAGATGGCAGGGAGAGGGTCAGTTAATTTCACCATTAGCCATAAGCTATTCCCAAACATCTACACCACAGAGTAAAAAGCTTTATACTTCCACAGAATACTGTACCTGAAAGATCATACGCAGCCTCCCCCTTTTCATCAGACTGTTTTGCCGATGTACCTTGTAAGAGGTCATCATTAAAATTAATCCAAGACACCCACTTTCACACAAAGAGGAGTATTGTATCAGTAGTTAGCATTCTCTGTTAGTAAGTAATGCAAAGTGTGCAAAGATATCCATCTTCCAGAAAGTGATCAGGAGAGAGACACCAACAGATATCTAGGTAGAGTTCTTGTGAGGTCAAGTTTCCTATCCAGTGGCTGCCCACTCAGGAGCCCCCTCACGGTCATGCTTAGCCTGAGGCCCCAGTGACAGTGAAGAAGGGCAAGAGAGAAAAGAAAAGCGAAGGGAAGCGGGCGGGAGGCTGAGGCACCTCCAAGGGCAGGGAGGAAGAGATAAGAACACCAACAAACTAAAGGGAAATAGGGATCCAGGTCTGAGGGGAAATGAAACTACCCAGCTTGCCTCCCCACACGTTATTTGTAGTGCCATGTTCATCCCTGTTCTTTGTCCAGGCCTTTCTACTCTGCAATAATAATGATAATAATAACTACAATAACTAATAATGATAGGGAAAGGAGACTGGAATTGGGATGTCAATCATATAGGGACCTCCTAGGTAAGGAAACTCCCTCTGTGAGTGTAGGTCGACGCTTTCTCGGCAACCTCCCAACTCTTAGGGATCTGACTAGAGCACTGAGAAGTTGTGACTTGTACAGGGTCACACAATCAGTGTGTGTCAGAGACTGGACTTAAACCCACGTCTCCTTCCTGGCTTCAAGGCCGAGTCTCTATCCACTACCCCACACTGCCTCTCAGTAAGAGTTAGATCAAGCATCCACAGAGTGCGTTATGGTCTGCAGAGTGTGATAGAGGTGATTTATAGCTCTTCCGCTGTCTCTTTGAAGAGACAGAGTCCAGGGAAGGAGACACAACTAGGTCTCAGCACAGAGGCTGAGCACATGGGAGACTTATCCCTGTCCCTAGTCTGGAACTCCCTGCCTAAATTCCCACTCACCCCCCTTTTCTCTCCAAGGCTGTCAGAGGGCCAATAGGAGGTCATAGAAAAATAACACAGGCCCAGGGGCAGCCCCAAAGCTCCCCAGAGACCACAGTCCTCCTTCTATGGGCTCTCCCAGGATTCTCTCAGATCCTGGGGTCACCCGAGGGTCCTAGGGTGAAGCTGTGGGCCTTCGTTTCCAGCCCACCATTTAATGACAACAGGGCCTCTAGTTCTGTGGGATTCGTGTTTGAGTTTCAAAAGGAGCTGGAAAGCATCTGAAACTATAGTGAGCAGTTGTTGAAACTCCCAAGGAAGCAACTGAGTTCTCAGTTTCCATGTTCCAGGTGGGAGGAGGGAAGAAGGATGGTTTAGCTGATGGCCTGAGGCCTGAGGATATGAGAGTTACAAGGAGAAGAGACCATGGCTTTGAAGGGGAGAAGGGCCCAGGAGCAGGGATTTTCTGGCAGCTGAGGCAGAGAAGTGGGTAAAGTCCTAAAAGAAAGAGATTGTGCAATGCCTGTTGTGGTGGGTCTCTTAAAGAGGAGAAAGGTGGGTGAAGAAAGAGTGAAAATAGGAGACTGAAAAGAAAACAAAGGAGAAACGATGAAGTTAACAATAAATGGGGGAAGAGAGCACAAAGGAAGCAGAATAAAAATGAAGCATGAGGAAGGAGGGGATAAAAATATTAAAATCCCCAACCCCCCTTAAAAGTAAATCACTCTAAAGAAGAAGATGAAAGAAGTGCTGGGAGTGGGTGGGTGGTGAGGAAAGGGAATGAACACCACGTCATACAGAAGAGAAGACTATAGACAATGCGAGGGGAAAAAGAAAACGTATAGAAGAAAGAATAAAGTATGGCAGGCATAAACAAAAGATAGACAGAGCCAGAAATAACACACCATCTTACAAAGAAAGGTTTTTCTTACAGAACAAAATCTGACATTTTCCAAAAGCATTAAAACATTATAGAAAAATTAGTTTTGGGGGAACACAGCCATAGAGAGACTGAAGAACAGGGCAGCCAAAGAGAGAAAGAAAAGACCACAGGAAGAAAATAGAAAGATATAGACATTAAACTTTCAGAGACAGGTGACTCCAAAGTCGTGTTATGGGGGGCAAAATAGATACATAATAATGACTGTGTACATATACATATGTATATATGGGCATATATATACATATGTATCTACACAGATCACACGCAAAATTATGTAAAATACATTCATTGTATTTTATCTAAAGGTGGGTAACACCAAAATGACAGCCAGCTATCATTTTGTGGCATCTTCTTACATTTTAAACCTATCGGAAAGAAAAGAGTAAAGAATTTGCTCTATTTCATACAACACAAACATCTGTGGTCAATGGTCACATCAAACATAAGACTGAACAATTCTGTATGGTTAACTGTAAACATTATTCTAAATGGGGGAGGAGGAAGTTCAGGGTTATTCGAAATGTTGCAAGAATTGGAATTTCAGTACATCAGCCCTGAGAGGCATTCAAGAAGTTAGGTCACTCAAAGCATCTTATGTGGCTTTATGATGCGATGGTGGCTTGGGGTGATGTGATGGAGGTCCTAGGCTGTGATCTCTCCTCCCCTTTCTCATGGTTTCCCCCCTTCATTCAGGATGGCATCTTCTATTGGAAGTATTGGGGCAGATCTCAGGGTGAGAAGCACATGACAGCTGAAACCAGGTGGACTATGTATTCATCTCATTCCCATCTGTTCTTCCGTCCTGACCAGAGATGCTGCTCTAATCCTGGGGATGGGCATTTCTTCGTGAAGTCTCTCTGCACAAGAATTTTCTTCTCTATATGCCTCTGTTCAACCCACCCCCAGAATCTTTGAGTCCAGAATCCTTCTCATCTGATGGTTTTAAGATTCTTGGGTCCAAGAACTATTCAAAGAAGGTGAATTTTAAACATGGTGAAAGGGAATCTCATTTCTTCTGTATTTGTGGAAAAGTTAGTAGGCTTCTCGGATGAGATCCTTACCTAAGATGTCCTACAATGAAGATGGAAGCTAGCAGAAGGTCAGCTTTGCTGACTGATCTTTGACTGGGACCTCCTTGATTTCTGCACTTGACATGTTTATGTCTTTGGCTCTTGACAAGGATGCAGTCAAGAACTAAGGAGGCCTTACTCCTATTCCATCCCTCTTAGGGTTGTAGGAAATGCCCCAGTTTGTGCTTTCCCGACCATTCGTCTCTATGTTCCTTGCCTCTTAGGTCTGTATCCCCCCTTGTCCCTGCTCTCTGGCCTCTACTGCTTCCCTCTCCCCTCCTGTTGTTAAGGGTGATTTCTATCCCTAAGACACAGAGCAAGGCACATTGATCAGGGGCCGAACCTGTTCCATTGACTGTCAGGACATAAGGCTGTCAACTTCACAAACTGAGAAAGAACTTTTTTAAAAAAATGTTCTTTATATTTACTTATTGTTCGTTTATTCTGTGAAGGATGGGAAGCTCAGTTCAGTGTGAAGTGTCTGCACATGAATCAGTGGCTCAACACCTTGGAGTATTACTGGGGTGGGCAGTTAGGCTAATATCTCATCTCATAGGATCACAGATTTGGGGCTGGAACGAGCCTTGGAGGTAAACTTGTCCAGTCTCTTTATTTTAGAGATAAGAAAACTGAGGCCCAAAGAGAAGTGACTTGCCCAAGGCCTCACAGTTGATGAGCGGCAGAACCAGGATTCAAATCCAGGTCACCGATTTCCAAATCCAGAGCTCTCTCTCTCTCTCAGTACCGCAGTTTGTGGTAGGATTGCTAAATCCATTCATCCTAAACAAACATTGGTTATCTTGAGGAAGAACCAGTTCCCTTAATGAAAGGACCATGAGTCCTGAAGTTGCCTTTTTGGGACCTCTACTTTCGGTGTCTCAGCAGAAACGCACAGCACCAAGGTCACTAGGCTTAGTAAGAGGTGGCTTATTTCGGGAGCATTGGCTAATCGGTATAGGCAGGACTAATGAAGAACACATCCTAGAGGAGCTAAATCATATATATATATATATATATATATATATATATATATATATATATATATAATATATAAAATTTTTTTTTTAAGAATTCTGTTCCACCTTGTTCTTAGGTGAAAGAGATCACCTCCCCAAGGAAAGGAGAAAACATGGTGAGAAAGGTCTCCCTGAATGACTGCTGTCATTATTGTGAACCCTAGGAAGACACGTTCATAGTTGGTACTTACTTCCTTCAAAGCAATACTCTAACACATAGCCATCTAAACCTGCTGCACCAATGTGGTCCGGGGGCCTCCATTTCATCGTCACCGTAGTATCCGTTACAGAGTCAACAGCCAGAAGAGTAGGTGGGCTGGTTACAGCTTTAAAAAAGAAAAGACAGGGAAAACCCATTCCATGAGAGATCCCAGAATCCCAGAATTCTCGAGTCAGAAGGCACTTCGGCCGTCGTCTGGTCTGCCTCTCCCCATCTGAGAGGAATTCCCACCACAACACACCTGACTGGTGGTCACCCAGCTTCTGCCTGGAGACCTACCATGGGGAGACTTCAAAAAACATTTTGCACAAGACTCATCATGCATTTTTCCAGCCTCCTCTCCTCTCTGAGGCTGATCATTCTGCTTGTGAGCAGCTGTGATTTTTGGTCAAATTTTCCCCACACAACACCCAAGTTTGCCTCTTCGTAACTCCTGGCCCTGGGGTCAAACAGAATAAGCCTGATCCCCCTTTCACATGCTCAGTTTTCAGATACTTGTAGACAGTTGTGGACAGCTAGGATCTCTCACCCCTTCTACCAAATCTAAACACACCCAGTTACTCCAACTGATCCTCAAAAGGTTTTCCCCATTCTGGCTGCCATTGTGTTTTTTTTTCCAAGCTTATCAATGTCTTTCCTAAACTGTAATGCCCAGGATTGAACAAAATCCTCTAAAAATGTTCTGACCAAGGCATAAATGACAGGGCACTATCACAGTAACCTTCTATCAGTTACAGTCTTACAGAGTTTTCTTAGCCACAAAAAGGTTAAGTGACTTGCCCATAATCATTGAGCTAAAACATTAGAGACCTTCTTGACTTCAAACCTAGCACTATAAGTGAATGAATGAATGAATGAATAACAGTGTGTGTATGTGTGTGTGAATTTGAATCTCACAACAATCTCATAAAGTAGGGAGAAAATATTTTACAGATAATAAGAAATTTTGTATTTTTGAATGAATAAATGAAATAATAAAATAAAATAAGTGCGTGTAAATTTGAATCTCACAACAATTTCATAAAGTAGGGAGAGAATATTTTACAGGCACAGAAAATTTTATATTTTTTAAGTTTCACACACAAGGAAACAGGCTCAGGGAGATTAATTACGGTAACATAGTAAGTATCAAAGGTGAGTTTGAACCCAAGTCTCCCTGACTCCAAGTTCAGCCCCCTACCCACTACATAGTACTACTTCTCACAATGCAAAGTACAGAGTGGGTATCCAATACAAGTTGGAAGTGAGCTAAATTTGAAGCATTTACTGATTGTCTACCACGTTTGCCACATTCTCCTCAGTGTGATTGTTGCTTTTTGGGTGCTACACAACTCTTTACTCACCCAAGGGAACGAAAGGCTTGGAGGGCATGCTGGGCTTGGAGATGCCAATGGCATTAACAGCAAATATCCGGACCTCGTAGGCAACACCTTCAATCATTTTCTTGGGCTCAAATGACGTTTCTTTGATGAGATCAAAATTCAGCCTCATCCACCTAGAGCTCTGTTTCTTTTTCCTTTCGATAAAGTATCCTGGGGGAAGAACAATATGTGAGTTAAAGTGCCTCTCTCCAGGCGGCAATGCAGGGAGCAAAGACAGCTTCCTGGAAGACAGGTCTTTCTCTGCAAATGACCCATAGCACCATAGGCCTTGTACTTTCAAGCTAAATGCACTGGAAACCAAGTGAGTGCTCATCTATTGGGAAAGGGCTAAGGAACCTGTAGTATATAGATGTGATGGATTATTGTGCCATGAGAAATTCAGAGAAGCATGTGAAGACTCATATGAATTGATGCAGAGCAAAATGAGAAGAGTCAAGACAACGCACACTACAATAATTCAAATGAGAACAACACTAAAGATCAATTACAATGAATAATCTTAGTTCCAATTCATGCTCAGATAACAGATGTACAATAAGCATTAGGGGCATACTTGAAATTTTTTAGCTTGGTGGGACCTTATGCTCTGCTAGCATGGCCTTCAAGAACCCACTTAAGATGGAAAACAGTGTTATCTTAAGTTATGTAACTTCTTATCTTATACGTGACAACTTTTAGATGCCACCTCTGATGTGATAACACAAAGCATGCCTGGTTCTTTGACAATCCCACGCATTTCCCACAAGGCCTTTACCGAGGATGGGGGACCCGCCGTCATTTGCGGGAGGCTCCCAGTTCATTTTGCACCAGTCATCTCCCACATCTATCACATTGGGCGCCAATGGAGGATCTGGGATATCTGTGACAGACAAAACAGAAAAATGTTAAGTGGAAAAGAACTTTTTCTATGAAAATCATACTAATAAGAAATGTTTTTAAAGTACTTTTGTCATAAGAGTACTAAATGCAGTGAACAAGCTAACTTCAGTAAACAAAAAGAGGGGAGGTGAAGGAAACAAAATGGGGGCAGGGAGGGAGAGAGATAAAATGAAAGGAAAGTTGTAGTCCCTCACCAATTCTCTTTCCCTTTTGAGTAACATCGGCCAAAAGGGACAAATGCACACATGGAAAGAGATCGAACAAGGGAAACTGCTCACAGTGAGAAAGGGGGAGGGGAGAAGCAATGAGAAGCAAAGGATTGAGGAGGGACTTGACTTCTGGTCTTGTCTTCATCTTACATTGGGGAGATGGCATCTATGGCTTGGAGGACCCTGTAGAGACTCATTGGCCTCATCAGAGAAAATGGTGGACTAAGTGCTGTAGAGCATTGAGGAGGAGAAGGGAGAGGGAAGAGAGGGAGAGAGGGGGAGAGAGACAGAGAGAGAGAGAGAGAGAGAGAGAGAGAGAGAGAGAGAGAGAGAGAGAGAGAGAGAGAGGGAAACCTATATGTAGGGGGTGATGGTAGGTGCTGGGGCATGCAAAAATGAGTAACACAGAGTCCCTGCCTTCAAGGGATTTGTAATCTAAGAGCAAAATTAAGACAGGGAAACAAAGAATTAATAAATCCAGACCATTTTCTATTGTTTTTAGGCTCAGAGATAGAATCAGAAGATACATTAATAGTCTGAACAGATAAATGACAGTCACCCAAGGGCCATCATAGATACTACTGTCCAGTTATTTGGAATAGAATATCTGTTCAGTAATTAGATTTTAATGAAATTATAAGGACAAAGATAAAGAGTACAGAAGTATTTTTGGTGATGCTGTCACCAGCAACCAGAATTGCCAGCCTCATTCCCTGAAGTAATAGAATCAGTAACACAGAGCTAAGAGGGTGACCCTAGTGATCACTAGTATAACCCCTCTATTTTTTTTTTCTTTTTTGACAGATGAAGAGAATGAGATCCAGACACATTCAGTTCCTCGATCATCGTCCTGGCTTGCAAAGAGTGGAGGTGGCATTCAAACCCATGCTCCTAGGGTCCTTCCTCCTGTGGTCATTCAGCTGTACCCGTCTGTCTCTCCACCTCATCCCAGAAGTGACGATCCTGGGGCTCAGAGTCCAAATCTAAGTCCCTTTATGCCTTTGCTACTAGACCATTTCTCAAAATGAAGGTCATAGATGTCATGGAGAATGGCAGCTTAAACCCACAGCACTGAGGGGGTACAGTGAACTGAGATGCCTTCACACTGTCTTCTGAGTTCTTCCAAGCTACCCCCTTCCCAAACAGTATTACATGCATCTTCTTTCTCTGGCCTTCACCCAAATGGACTCAGGCTGGCTGCCCTGAGGGGCCCAAGGTAGTCACCATGACAAAACAGCCTGAGATAAAGATGCTAGGGTTAACTAATTCTGCGAAAACCAAGTTGTTTGTTTGAATTATTATTATTATACAGACCTGTGATTTCACTGGTGTAGAAATTCCCTCCATTGACATATATTGGTAAGTCACTTGTAACTTTGTTTTAGAGAGCTGCCTAGAATACGGAGAGGCTTTGTGATTTCCCCAAAGTTACATGGCCAGCATTTGTCAGAGAGGGAAACTAGGTGGGTCAGTGGATAGAGCGACAGGCCTGAATTTAGATAGACTCACCTTCCTGAGCTCAAATCTAGCCTCAGACACTTACTAGCTATGTGACCCTGGGCAAGTCACTGAATCCTATTTACCTCACTTTTCTCCTCTGGAAATGGCCAACCACTCCAGTGTCTTTGCCAACAAAACCCCAAATGGGATCATGAAGAGTCACACACAAGTAAAAAACAACTGAGCAACCACAATTTGTCAGAGACAAGACTTGAACCCAGGACTTCTCGGTTCCAAGTCTGGCTCTCTATCCCACTATTGCCATGAAGTCACATTTCTTAAAAAGATGTGTAACAAACAGCCATAATCTAGTTGCCCAGGACCCACTGAGTACTCTCAGATAGCGGTGCCCACCAGAAATGTCTAACTTCCTTAGGCTCTGTTTGGTCCTGGAGCCTCCTCACTCCAGGAGAACTTACCAACCACCTTGATTTTGATGCTTGCGTGAGCCTCCCCTGCTTCATTCTTGAGATTGATGTTGTAGACACCAGAGTCTTCCCTTTCAGCAACATCAATGACCAAAGTGCTACTATCGGGATAGGATTCTGCTCGGATCCGACCCCCACCCTCTGTAATAGCCTAGGAAGAAAATACAGAAACAAAATGGCAGCTCCACTGAAGAGAGGGAGGATTTCCAAGGACCTACACTATCTCTCTCAGGGCTTCTTCACTGCGGTTCTACTTTTTAGGTGGAAAATATATATACATACATACATACATCTGGTTTCACTGACATCTAACTGAAATTTAACATTTCCTTCCATTACTTAAAAACATGATCTAAGGAGTGGTTTGTAGACTTCACCAGACTGTCTGCCAGAGGGGCCCCAACTCAAACAAGTCAAGGTCCCTGGTACTGATGGACAAGAGGAGCTGCAGGACATCAGCCAGGGGTGTGGCCGTGCTTTGAAAGGCAGGAAAGGAAAAGTTCAGAAATCCTACCCAAATGTCAAATTAAATAAAATCTGTTTTCTGTGGACTCTAGGGCCGGAAGGGAATGAAGAGATCATCTGCATCACACAGCCCCAGAATCTCAACCGTAGAAGGGTCCTCAGAGACATCCAGTCCAATCCACAGGAGCAGGGGTTTGTTTGTGTGCAATGGGTCTGTCTCCCTGTTAGGAACAAGTCTTTCTCCCATGATCTGGATGAGGAATTGATCCTGGCTGTAATACTTGAGTCTGACAGAATGAATTCTCCTCCACAAGGCAAACCAACCTAAGAAGTGTGGAGGCAGGGGCAAAGAAAATCCACATGAAATCCATGGTTCAGGACTGAGTCGGCCCTTGGTAAATACTTGTTAACGGATCAGATTCAAATGAAACCACCCCATTTTTAACTCATAATCTAAATTTTCTTCAGTTATTTTTCAAACCAGAATTACTTTAAAAAAAAAAGTATGTCCCTGAGTAGAATCATATCACTTTTCTCTTCCCTGGGCTACCTAACTATCCCATAAGGAATTCATCTATCATATACTGGCTATACAAATTTGAGGATACAGACTGTCTCACCATGATTAGTTATGCACTGAAATTATTGTAAATGTGACTCGTTTTCAGGGAAACTTCACTGGTTGTACTGACGATCAGTGGGAAGCCCTTAGTGAAAGGCTTATCTTGTAAGCAATGGGCTATACCTTGTCCGCCCGGCTCCACAGGGCCTTGGGGGGTGGCTCTCCGCTGACTGGGATCTCAAGGCGAAGTTTGCTTCCGGCAATGACAGTCACAGTATTGTCAGCATCCAGCCCATCCAGGTGTATCTTAGGAGGATCTGAATATCAGATGTGGTCATTAATACATGTCATCATTTGGCCCGAGCAATGTTCCCTGGAGTCAGAGGGCTTGGGTTCAAATCCTATCTCGGATACTTGTGACTTATACACATTGGACACATCACTTCAGTTTCCTCATCTGTGAAATGAGGGACTGGAGAAGCCTGTGATGGGTGTGCTGGTAGAGGGAGCCCCCATACCAATGAGCCCCCTGATCGATAATCTAATGTGTGCCAGTCACGGTGCTGGGTATCATTTGACATACAAAGGTGACCAAGGCATGGTTCTTATGGAAATGACACGATCTTAGGGAAGTAGGACACGGTCTTTGAAAGAACTCTAGATTAGGAATGAGAATGTCAGACCTGGGCCTGACACTCGACCTTGGGCAAACTTCCTTACTTCTTCTCTAAACCTTTTTCCTTATCTGTAAAATGACGATATTCATAGCTATCTTACAGACCACAGGTCATCACTATAGAATCAAAAGAGGTAACAGATAATGATGGAGAACAGATTGGTGAATGCCAGTGGAGGGAGGAACAGCAGCGCCATTGTCACGAGGACAGAATTGTGACCACTTTGGACAGGGGGATTTAGGAAAGAGATCACAAGCCAGGCCTGAGCAAATGATATTGTGATGGGAGACTTCATTTGTCCCACCTTTTGGTGGTGTGCTCTCTGTGCCACACAAACAAAAGCATCTGTTTCATTATTGGGATGCTTTCAAGATGCTTTTATTCTTCTTGAGGTAGGGCAAGTGAAGAGGGGACCTGGTGCTCTGTAATTGCTTCCGACTGACAAGGCTGAAGGTATAACCACTCAACCTCAGAAGGCTTAGAAGGAAAGCTGGGCACAGTTCGATCAATATCCAGGTTTGGAGAGCACAGAATTCAAAGGACTCAGATAAAGGTTAGGTAGGATTGCATGGATTAAAATTCAGGAGGCGTCAGTCCAGGAAGGGTGTGAAGTTATCAAGAATGAAATTCTGAAGACGCACAGAATTCCAATGAGGAAAAGGGAAAGTTCTCTTAACAGACTGATGTGCATACACGATTAGTTCTTTGACAAACTTAGGTGTAAAAAAGAAAAGTTTAGAAAATGGAAGAAGGGCAGGTCATGGAGGATGAATACATAAGCTTGGCACCATTCCATAAGAATTATCACAAGGGCACCAGACTTCAGAATGACCTCAGGATGACTACGAAGGCTAAGGACAAAAATGCATTTTGAAAAAAGCTTTATTGGGAAAAAGATGACAGAGGGGGCTGGTCCTGCTGCTTGTGGGCTTACAGATCCAAGGCTGTGAGGGAGCCCAGAGGCTGTCTAGGACCATAGGAACCGAAGTGAGCCGGTCCAAGGCCACACAGATCATAAGCACCAAAGGTGGGCTCACAACTGGAGGCCTCTGACTCCAGGGCCAGTGTTCTTTCCATTGAACTACAATGAGAAAGGACGACTTAGAGAAGGCAGACTTCCCAGCTCTAATATGGTTTCTGTTCTCTTTGCCAAGGAGGATGATCCCTGGACTGAAAAAAAAAAAAAAACAACAACAAAAAACATGGTAGAAATGAGGAGGCGGATAGTAAGACCACCCAGCTGCCTCTGATGAATCTGAGTTTGCTGCCTCAGACAAACTACCTTTCCAGATCTCCCAGACTGGGAGATGTATGCCAACTCCTCCTCCTGGCCCGGCGTGTCGGATGGTGTGAAAAAAGTAGCAGACAGCCTCAGAAAGGGGGCCGAGACATGTGTTGTCTTCAGTGGGCACCAGCAGTTGGAAGGAAAGCGAGACGGAGGGATCAAGGATCATAGGACCCTCAGCTGAGAGCTGGAGGGAATCTTGGAGGTCCCCAAGTCTAACCCCCTCATTTTACAGATGAGGACACGGAGGCACAGAGGGCAGAAGTGACTTGTCCAAGGTCACGTCACACAGACCATAAATAGTAGAACCAGGGTTGGAATATAGGTTTCTCTGACTCAAAATTACCCCATGGCAAAGAAAGATTCCAAAGAGCAGAGAAGAAAGGGAGGGCAGAGAATAGTAACTGCAGAAGGGTTAAAGTTGGGTTGATTACCAGAGCTGTTGGTGGGTCAGTGGTGGAAGCAGCAGATCCCCTCACCTCCCCCAAGATCCCACACTAAAGACCAGAACAGAGACACGGGGACGTGTTCAGGGAATGGCATGTGGTCCGATTAGACTGGTATTTAGGGTATGTGAAGGGGGTGAGAACAGCTGAGGCTAGAATGGGACAAAATATAGAGCACCTGACTGACAAGCTAATAAATCTGCACTTATAACTTGATAAGCAATGGGGAGCCATTGAAGGTGTATGAGCTGGAGAGTGATGTATTCATATCTCTTGCTATGATGTTTAAGCCATTTTGGAGGGAGGAAAAGACCAGAGGTACAGAGGACAATTAGGTGCCTATTATAAGAGTTAAGGCAAGAGATAACAAGAAATTGAATTACAGTGGTGGCCTTGGGAATAGAAAAGGAAAGAACGTATACAACAGACATAGCAGAGCTTGCACAGACAGGGCTCAGTGATTGAATGAGGGGACTGAAGAAGAATGAATGAATACAGCATTTATTCAGTGCTTATTATCAGTGAAGCACTGTGCTAAGCATCAGCAAAACACACTGAAAAGTCAGTTGCTTCCCAGGCTCAAGGAGCTCACCTTCCAATGGAAGAGGGAAGAGTCAAAGATCGGAGGGCCATCACCATCAGTTTCTTTGTGCCTGACCAGGTTTATCTATTTTTTTGTCTCTAAATTTCACATAATACAACATACTTTTAAATTCTAAAGTAGGAATAAAAATCACCTCTAGAGACAGCTATGGTACACTTTGTATACTCACCTATTACACGAACTTTGGCGGGCAAGGTCACAGTGTAGGCATCAGGTGCAAATACGTATTCACCTTCATCCTCAATGAGAGCATTGGCTATCACTAATTTGTGGATTCTATGTAGACAGAAACATTTATTCGTTCAACAACCATTTATTTGGCTGGATGAGATAGAGGAGCTCATAGTCATTTCTGTGAAGTTTTCTTTGTCATTGTTTCTGGTATATTTTTCAAGCTCTACTGCAGTGTTAGTGGGGGATCTGGGTTCTTCTAGGTCCCAACGCACCATCTTTGATGTAAGGTTCCTATTCAGCAACATTTATTAGACACTTCATTTGGAGAAAGCCCTGGGCTAGGTGTTGGGTTGTATGTTTGTCAAGGGGGAAGATGAAAAGATAAAAGTCTTTGTTCTCTTGGGACTTAAAAGCTAACAGGGAGTGTTCAACACATACACAACTCACTATAGCATCCACTAAGAAGTAATAAGAATGTAACAGGCACAAAGTGCTCTATGAAGGCAGAGGAAAGAGAGAAAATGTTTGATAGCAGTTTCTGTGAAGCCTTCATGGAGGAGGTGGCATCTGGGCTAGGCCTTAAAGGATAGACAGGCCAGTACACACTTGACTCTATGTAGAGCCAAGCATCGTGGAGAGTTGGCCATGATCTGATTGAGTGGCTCAGCTCAGACAGGCTACAGAATTTTGGACCTTGATTATTCTCTTTGGCATTTTCAGCCACAGTTCTGGATTATACGCAATTCATGACCTTGGTGTCCTCAGACAGCCTGTTATACAGGCTGTTTGTTATTTAGTCATTTCATACTTGAACACTGTGGCCATAGATTTGTGACATCATTGATACTGTGGATACCCTCTACTGGTGCATATCACAACCCACCCATCCCTCCTGCTCCTCTTCAGTCTGGTCCATGTCCTTCCACGGTCCCTCCAACTACTTCCAATCTACTCAACTCCCTGCTCATCTAGTATCTTTCACTCAGGTTTTATTTGTTATGGAATAATTAGCAAGAGATAAGTGAAACTATAGAATATAGTTTGATAACACATCTTCCAAACTGCATGGATCCACAACTCCATTGGTGGTTGTCTCTACCAGTACAGATTATAGTCCTGCAACAACTCGTTAGATGTTCTTCATCGGTTGGTATGGCTAAAAAGTCAGTCTCTCAGCCAGCCAAGTGATGAATCTCTTTGGACACAGCCACTCAGGTCCTTGGGAAGGAGATGCACATTTCCATGAAAGCCTTTTTGGCTTGGTAGGAACTCTAGAACTTGTGCCTCACTGCTACAACTTCTGAGAGCCCAGTCATGGTGCAATGGACAAAATACCATTTTTGGACCTGGGTTCAAGTACCACATTCATTCCTATGAGGCACGGGAAGAGGGTGATATCAAAGGCTCGCCTTGGACTGCTTACCTTCCTTTGTGGATGACCTTTAAGCGTTCACTTTCCTGAACAGGTAGACCATTCTTGGTCCATTTCCCTGGTATGTTTTCAGAGATTTCACACTTCAAGCAGATTTCCTTTCCAAGTTTCTCGGTTATATCTGTTAAGGGCTGCAATATCTTCAGGGGTTTCACTAAGGAAATGGACAAAATGGAGAAATGCAGGACTGAAACTGTGGGCTGGTCTTGATGCCAGAACCTCACAATGCCTACTGTTCTGCATGGATGTATCAGACAAGCCTATGGCTGAAACGATTATTGTAAAATCCTGATGGCAGTGGTGCATGGGCCTGATCTGTCTGTAGAGATTTCTTTTCAAGGATTAGAATAATATACATAAAGTGATGTGAGCTAAGAGAGCTAGGAAGAAATCAAGAGGCTTTCCTGATGTCATCCTTTTCTGAGTAATGCAGAAATGACCACAGCCCCATCTCTATTCCCCTACACCTTATTCTCAATTCTGCACATTCATCATAATCACAAACAGTTACGACAGTGTCAACATGTAACATGAATGTTCAACTGGGCCCGGTCTTGTTGTGATGTCATGGCACGTGATACATGCACCATGACTTTTCCTGAAGACATCAATTCTGCAGAACACATTAACTCTGAGAGCATTCTCAGGAAAGACCTCTTTGCTAGAATGTGCCAGGGCCCTCTCCAAGCTGAGTCCCACTTTCTTCACTTTGGATTTGGGCCCCAAAGTGTCCTGGCAAAGTGTTTTATAAAGCATTGCATGTTCATGTGATTGATGGATGAGAAACTCAGGGATCCTAGGAGCTCAAGTTGTTGATAATATAGTTTGGTCGATTCCATTGACTAAACATGTATTAGGCACCTACTGTGTGCCTGATACTTAACTAGGGGTTTGGAATACAAATGCAAAGAAAAACGAAACTCCTTATCCTCAGGAAAATTACAGTCTGCTGTGGGGTAAGTGGAAAACAAAAAGCAGCATGGTTTTAATGAATACAGAACTGGCCTAGAACCAGGAAGACTTGGCTTTGACACAGGCTGGTTCTGCGACCTCAAGTAAATCATTTAACCTCTAGGTGCTCCAGGCACCTCTATAAGACTGTAAATTATTTTTTATTAGTAATAGAAATAATAATAGTTCATATTTATCAAGCGCCTGCCATGTGTCAGGAACTGTGCTTAGCACTTTACAATTATTGTCTTATTTGATCCTCACAACAACCCTGAGGGATAGGTGCTGTTATTATTCCCACTTTACAGCTGGGGAAACTGAGGTAAGCAGAGGTTAAGTGACTTGCCTAGAGTCACACAGCTAGGAAGTGTCTGAGGTTGGATCTGAACTCCAGGTGCTGGCACTCTGTGCCCTATGGTGCCACTTAGTTGAGGTGCTGAGAACTGCAGAGAAAGTGTTGATTGTATTGGTAGAGGGAATTCCCCAGCTGCTAGGGTGAGCAGGGCAGACATGACATCTGATCTGTGCTTTGATGACAATTGTGTGCAAGTGTCCACTTGCTCTCTCTTCAAGTTAGGAAACACCATGTGTAAAATTTAAAGTGACCTTAAAATGTGACATTCTGTTTTTAAAGCCTTTCTTGGCCCTCATTTTCTGTTGGTCTCCTCTGCCTTTGCCCTCTGACCTAATGTTCTGTGTCGGGTTGGATACCCTGGCCTAATGCGAAATAAAGATTGGGCTAGAACTTACCGTAGTTTGACCTCTCTCAACATAAGCAGAAAATGAACAGTTGGAAAATTCCCAATGATCACAGATTCCCAGCTGGAGGCCCCTCCGAGGCCATCTGGCTTAACCCCCTCCTTTTACAGTTGAGGAGACTGAACCCAGGGAAGTCACACAGGTAGTTATCGGACAAGCTGGGACTTAAACTCAGGTCTTCTGGATTCCAAATCCAACATACTTTGTACCGCACCATGCTGCCTTAATTTCCTGTAATCAGTATTGACAAAAGCGAGAAACAACGTGGCCATGGCTATTTGAAATGCAGGTTAGGAAGACTTACGGCCCACATTCAGCTTGGCAGAAGACTGTCCCCCTGTGGTCATGACAGAATATTCTGCAGTGTCCGCCTTGGTAGCTCCCTCTATGATCAAGATGTGCTTCTTTCCCTCTACTTTGACCCGGTATCTGGACTTTGGACCAATGTCAATCTCCTCGCCATTCTTAAACCTTGATGAAAAGTGAGAAAAATGTCCACATCGTGAGTGGAGAACTAGAAATATCCTGGTGGCTTAGACCACTCCTTCTGCACCTCAGATACAACCAGAATCGCCTGACAGAATTGCCAGAATTGTCTTGCCTGACGTAGTAAGATTCTGCCTTCCTCTGGATGCTCCCCGCTTTATCAGGGTCCCTTCCTAACCAATGGCAGCCAGAGCTGAGCATGCTCCAGAGGCTGACTGACGAGGGCAGAGGATGGCAGGATGATCACATACGGCTCTTGAAAAATACTATGAAAAATTACATTCACCACATTTTCAAAAAGGATAGCTTTAAAGAAAGCTCTGGCTCCAGACTAGAATGCATCTATTGCAATGGATTCCCACTATGCCATTCGTGTTACTTAGGGCAAATCATCTCAGTTTCAGGATTCAATTCTGCAAATGTCAACGTAAACATGGAAAAAAACTATTTCTGTCTCTCCTAAGAGCAATGACAACTTCCATTTGCAAAAGGGCTTCTGGCAACTTTTGGCTGCCAATCTACATAGACCTGGCATACTCAGATTGAGATAGGTCCTGGGAGCTCAATTTTCACCATTTTAATGAGGAGCCTACTCTGAAGTGTTAGGAAATAAGACTCAAGATGGGAGGTATCAAGAAATCCTACTCTGGTCCAGGGATGGAGAGCTTTTATAGAGTGGGGTGCTTTCCCAATAGGCCACGTGGGCCAAGGGCTGTGGGCGCCTTCTCGTTTTTGTCCGTCTGAAAACGGCCAGACCCCTTGGGCAGAAGAACGGCTGCTCACCACTTCACATTGGCATCATCCTCAGACACCTCACACTCCAGCTCAACTCTTTCCCCGCAGTAGGCGTTGGTGTCCTCCAGTTGTTTGGTCACCAGTATTGGGGGCTCTAGGGGGAGAGACAAATGAACCACAGTCATCAGAGGCCCTGGCCACACAGACTTCTGATTCCCAGCCAACCACACGCCTCTCCTGGAGGGCCCTGAAGAACAGGCCGCCCCTCGACCTGGGCCCCTCTCTTGCTGAGCAAGTGGCTCCTCCTCTGAGCTGGTGGGGACATATGTAGGGACAGGGAGATGAACTAGACTATGGCTTGATATAAGCCATGATTCAGGTGATGGAGGGAGCTTCCAGGGCAGGTCAGAACCTTTCCTGCAACTCAGTTTTAGAGAACTGCCTGGAGCCGTGAGAGATTAAGTTACTTGCCTAGGGTCACCAAGGCTGCATGTATCAAAGGCAAGATTTGAATTCAGGTTTTCTTGAGTATAATAGGTAAAGAGAAAGAGAAGTTTCCTCGTGTTCCCAAAGTGACTTCTATGGTTGATATTTCTGATGAAAGAAAGATTCTACAAAATTCCGTGGAAACCACTAGTCTGAATCAGGAGTCCACAGCCATTCTTGTGTCTTGGACCCCCCAGATGGTCTGGTGAAGCCTAGAGATTCTCCTCAGAATCATAGTTTTTAAATACACAAAATACATAGGATTATGAAGGAAACCAAAGGTTAATGAAAATAAAGATGGGATCCCTGCCCCCCACATCCAACTTCAGGGCCACTCTGAAATCCCTTCATGGACCCAGGAAGGCATAGTCTCAAGTTTTCCATTCTGAGCGCACCTGCAGTAAGGAGAATAGAAAGTGTAGCACTGTATTCATCCTGGAATCGGGTTCAAACAGTGCCGCTCTACAAATGGTCTCTCATCAAATGGCAGCCTTCTAGAAGCTTCCGTGTTGTATTGGGGCTGATCCATTATCTCTCCCCTAATGAAGCTGGTGGTAAGGGAAAGACTGTGCTTAGGTAGATGGGCATGTGGCTGAAATTTCATGGTATGAATGAATAAGGGTCTATAGGATCATGGGCTTCCTTGAGTTGGAAGGAACCACAGAGGCCATGTAGTCTATTCCTTTCCTTTTACCGAGGAGGAAACTGAGACCCAGGGGGGGTCCAGTGACACACGCAGGGAGTAAGTGGCAGAACCAGGATTTGAACCCAGGTCTTCTGACTCCAAACTGAGCCATCAACCCACAGTACCATGCTGCCTCTGAAGAATTTCTCATATGGTCCATATGCTTAAGTCGCAGCAGAAAATTAACTTTTTTAAAAACCTAGTTCCATTGAGTTTGGGAACCAAAGGCAGTAGACATATTTGATTAGTGGCGGTTATCAATCTTCTTCAGACTGTACACACCTACAAAATTATTAGAGTGGCCTGACATACCGGATCCACCCCAGGGTAAGGAGGGGAGTAACACCTAACGCAAACAGTTTTTGGATATGAGGTTACATTTACTCTGGGAACCCAAGGACTTATTTTATCAAGTGGAAATGCAATCACCTCTCTGTGTCACATTTTAATAACAATCTCTGCTCTCTTGAGGACAGAACTTCTACACTTTTGCTATAAAGATCAAATAGCTTGTTTTCAAAACTCTGGGATCCTTGTTGAAGTAAAGTTTTAGTTGTCAAACTGTGTGACTGAGATATTCTTAATTTTTAGAATTTCCTGTTGGAATGTGAAGGGGTTGGGGTCCTCTTTTCTACTTAATTATTCTCCAGAGACATTCCCAATCTCTTGGCTTTGGGCTGTGGATGGGGAGCAGGGAATAACTATGAAAAGCAGAGAGGATGGCAAGGAGGCAGCCGCAGAAAATGAAGAAACACAGGAAGGACATCAGCAAACAGCTGTTCAAACAGACCAGAAGGTCACCAAACACTTTTTAGGAAGCAAAGACCTAAAGGACATCTGAGTGAATTCCTCAGTTGTCTTTCTTGTAGCCTATATAATCTTTAAGATCCTGACTTCTAAAGTTAGTCCCAGTGCATCCAGGATATAATGAGGCAAAATACTAGCTTGAAGGAGGAATTCTCAGGTCACTAACCCAAGCAGAGAGAGAAGCAGCTGCTTTAGAACAGAAAAAATAAGAAATGTGATTTAAGTAATTTTACCTCTTACAAAAAGTTCTGTGGAACATTTCTCATCCCCAGCTGTCACGTAATACTCAGAATCATCTGTCATCTGGCAGTTATTGATAAACATGATTCTTTGGCTTCCTTTGTGCTCAAAGATATATCTGTTTTAAAAAAGGAATAGGGAAAACTCATGTTAGTGAAATCGACTTTTTTTTATTTTGATTCAAAATGATAATTAAAAAAATTGGTCACTCTGAGCTTCTTAGATTCAACAGCTTTGAACACTGAAATTTGGCTTATTCTTTCGGCTTTTCATTTATGGCATGAATTCTTCAGAATGTTCAAGGACAATGGATATTTTCACCTGGTAACTGACTTCATTGACAGGAAACTATCCTGCAAGACCACGTCAGCCCTGAAACTCCCACGTCCCTGGTCTGCAGCTGCTGCCCCTGGGGCCTCTCCCTCTGATAGTGGTAGGAAGCACCCAGGCTAGCCATCTTTTTGTTTCCCTCCTGGCTGCATTCTCTGGACTTGCTCATGGCACCCCACGCCCAGAATCTTCCCTCTTCCCCAGCTGCCATTAGCTTCCTTTTATATGTTTTATTCCCTAGATTGTCAGTTTTCTTTTCGTATTTGCAATCCCAGCTCAGCACAGTGCTTGGCACACGGTAGACACTCAGTGAATGCTTCTTGACTGACTAACAAGTTTTAGAAGGTTGCCTGAGGCTCAGCCGAAGTGAAAAGACTTGCCCACCCTCACACGGCTAGAAGGCTTCACAAGCAGGATCTGAATCTAGGTCTTCTTGACTCTAAGCCCAGAACTTCGTCTGCTCCCTGACATACCGCCTTGGGATCGTGAATTCCTCTGATTTTTTATGAAACATCTCCCTTTTCCCCCTGTTATATCTCACAAATTCTTTATTGGGGTAGGGTCCACACACGAAATTTCACTGGCCTAGAGAACACCCATTGATTTTCTTCTCTGCCACTGATAGTCTCAGAGAATCACTTGGGGCACTGGAAGGTTGAGTGACTTGCCCAGGGTCACACAGCCTTCGTCAGAGGCAGGGCTTGAACCCAGGTCTTGCAGCCTCTAAGGCTGACTCGCTACACCAAGATGCCTCTCCTTACAAAACATGCCTAAGTGCATCACTTTAAGAATCGGACCATTAGAAGTGGATTACGCGCTGTGAAGGCAGATCAGTCTTATGTAAAGCAGGAGGCCGAGGCGTGAGAACTGCAGTCTGTATCTGTGTGTTTTGTCTACACAACACCAGAATTCCAAATGTGCCAAAATGCTGGGCTCACGCTTCCATTGTTTCGGCAATGGCTATCACAACAAACAAGGGCCTGCCCTCCAGAACGCGAAGCCGTGTAAGGTCAAATTACTATTTTATTTACAAGTAGCACCATCACACAGGGACCAGGGTTCAGATCACAGCTTTGTCACTTACAGCATGGGTAATCTCAAGCAAGGGACTTCAAACCTCTTCACCTCAGTTTCTTCACCTGCAAAATGGCCTTGGAGGTCCCCCCTGCCCCGCCCTCAGCTCTAAATCCAGTATCCCATCAGCATCTGTTAATGCGACACTTACTTGGTACTGGGTCGTATTTCTTGTCCATTTTTGTACCATTTCACTTCTAACTTTGGGTCTGCCAGCTCCACCATAAATCTGACTTTACCACCTTTGTCTACCTGGTAGGCAGGATCAAGAATTTTGGAAAAAGCTAGAAGGCAAAGGAAGAAGGAGGATTATTAGAAACAGAAAAAAATAAATGTGAGGACCAAGAATTTAAATGGGAAAAATAGATAGATTTGCCAGCAACGAGAGTGCTCGCAAACAGGCTCAGCTGAGGACAATTTATTTTTGTATCCTCCACACTCGATTGTCAAACCTCAAAATAAGCTTTAGTTCCATGTCTATCTGTGGACGCAATATAGACACACTTTAAAAAACTGAGGCTTGAAAAAGAAACAATATACTTCTAAAAAAAGGTAAAATAAGGAAAAGAAACTATCTTCTCAATGACCTTGAGACATTGCTTTGAAAATTTGCCGGTGTCTCCCAGAGTGAGAGTAGGCTCAAATGAAAGCAAACATTTATTCTTTCAGTGTAATCCCTTCTTATGTGATTAGCATGATTTTGCACTTTCTACATAACAAATGTCATTTTCAAGAGTCTCACACAGAGATGAATTCTATCGACATGGTATGCAGAGGGCTAGACTTGGAGTCAGAAAAACCTGGGTTCAAATCCTCCTCTGACACTTACCAGCTCTGTGATCCTGGGCAAATTGTTCTCTGAACTTCATTTGTAACCAGATCATAGATCTCGGGTTGGAAGGGACCTCAGAGATCATCTAATCCAACCCTCTCATTCTCCAAATGAGAAAAATGGGGCCATAAGAGGTCAAATGATTTCCTCGAGGTCACACAGATAGTAAGCATAAGAGGTGAAATTAGAACCTGGGGCCTCTCACTCCCTAGCCAGGGCTCTTTCCATTGAAACATGCTGGCGTAGCATATATAAATGCCATTCCCATGACCTTCTTCTTCGAGCATAATTGGAATGGGATTTATGGTTGTGACTCCAAATTCTCAAAGTAAACTGCATCAATAGGGCAAAAATTGTACCCGTGCAACCTTGGAAATCACACAAAAACACTGCTATGACACCTGTAGGAGTTAATGATCAGGTTCAGTGTTAATTTCTACCTCTCCCCTCCCCTCTATCAGCTCCAGATCTCATTTGCATATGGCTACTTGGCTTAATCTTTTAATTTGAGCAAAAAAAAAAAATCCAAACAACATTGGGTTTTTTTTAAAAAAATTTCCACTTTCTACATACCTGCGCTTTTCTTCTCAACCCTCCTCATGCGCTTCAGACGCTTCAGCATGCCTCTCAGATCAGTGATGCCATACTGAAAGGCAATCTTCTCGTATTCACTGGGATTGGCATTCTTCAGAAGCTCCCACACATCTATTTCTGGCTCTTCTTCCTGTGGCTTGATTTCCCTACCAAAGGCAAAGGGCGTTAGCCATCCGGGGTAGAGCAGCTACACCGTCTTTTCAAGAAGAGACAGACCGAGATGAACATTGACAAATAAGATAGCAAAATTCCCACTGAAGGTCTGAGGAACGAAAGCAGACAGAGGGTCTCATTGCCTCCTAATTAAAGTTTAGGGAAGCTTTCAGGTCCATAGAAACACAGTCACTTACTGAAAGTAGTGTTTTAGTTTTTCTGGTCATAAAGTTTCCTTCATGAAATAGAAAGAGATGGTTTTTGTTTTACAAATACTCTACTCTTGGTTTTTTATTTTCTCCCTTTTCATTTTTGAAAGCTACTTTGATAACATCTCGTTAGAACTTGAGTTTGGTGATACTCCAGAAGAGTTTAAATGTTCATATTTGGATAACGAATTCACTAAAAATGGGCTTAATATTAGAAGATTTTGATGTTAACAGAGAATAAAGGGAAATAAGTACTATGCATGAAAAACAGTGTGGTATAGTGGATAGAGAAGTAGTCTCAGTCAGGAAGACCTGGGTTCAAGGCTTGTATCTGACACAAGCTGATTAAGTGACTCTGGGCAAATCACTTAATCTCTTAGTGCCCTAGGAGAACTTCAAAGGCTCTACAATGAAATCTAAGGGCTAGTCTCTACCATATGTATGTGTATGTGTACATATATAGTATTTACAAATATTGATTTATAAAAGTTGGTTTTAAAACCACTTATTTGATAAAATCAAGTTTAAAAAATTAAATAAGTGATTATTTTGAGGAATTACGGACAGCCCGCCTGTTCTTCTGTTCTCCATACAATGTGAAGAGATGCAGAAGATGGTTCCCAAAACATTGGGTAGACTCCTGTGGTGAACTAACGGAAGCGTATTGAGTATAGTAGCACTGGATGGGCAGGCTTGGAGAGGATGTCCACTTGCCGATATTGAAGTGCCACTAAAATACCAAAGTTTATCTTTGCCAAGCTGGGTTTCTACATATCAACCATTTCAGACTGTTGCCCTAATCACTACACTACAATTTTGGTGTGCTTGATTTTTATTATAGATACCAATGTGCTCTGGAAAATGCATTGCCCTAAAAAGGATGAGCATTTTGGCAACGAACATAAGAAAAGGAGAGTTTAAAGTTTCCATCTCCATCATGGCCAGTGAACTCTTGGAGTTCCATGGCCAGCTATGAAACTGACTTTTTGATGTGGACACACGAGTGATGAAAGACCAGAACGTTCCAATGAACCGATTACAGAAGGCCTCCAACTGTGGGACGGACACATCTACAACCTACCCACGTATAGAGGCCATCCACATTGAACTTTAGCTCAAGATGAAACACATCTTTGAGCACACAGCTGAATGTTTCTTAAGTGATTTTGTAGGCTGCTTAGTCTTCAGTTAGTTTTACTTCAAGATTTTATCATTACTTACTGTGAATTGGGTTGGTTTGGATGCGACTCTTCCTATGTGCAATTCAATCAAAGCAGCATGGAAACCAATGTAAAAGCTGATAGATGCTCTTACACAATTAGCCATGTCAATTAGATTTCTTCCAGGGTTTCTCATAGATGTATCCCATGAGACTTGCATTGGGGGCTATTAGAATATAGTAGGGGTTGGGTGAAGGGGACTTCTATTTACATGGGGCTGGGTTACCTACTCCTCCGACTTTTTTTCTGGTAGGCTTGATCATCCACTTGGAGCTTTAGCCTACTCACAAGCAGACTAGGGAGAGAATGCTGCTATAAATCTCTGGCAAAACAGAATGCGGCAAATAAATTACTAGTATAAACAATTTCCAATAGGGCAAGCTCTGCCTCTGGAAACCTAGAAATGACTTGGGCAGGGTGATGTGAGAATATGTTTTCAAAATCCTAAGGCCAGAGCCCTTATATTCAGCTTATTGAAGCAATGGTTACAGCCCTTCTGTTAACTGAAGGAAGCCAAAAGCTTTATGAGAAAATTGTTCTGAGGTTGGGACATTGGTAATCATTCAAAAGATTCCCCAGATCTATAACCTGTAAGCAGTCTTTGTCACAAACACATCCTCTAAATTTTTCAGCAGGAAGATTTAGAGAATTGAAACCAAAAATGTGCATGCATAGACACACACACACATATGTATATATATGTATGTATGTATGTATATATATGTCATTTTTTCCCCTGAACCAAGTCAAAATGTCACAGGCCTCTGCGAACTGTAGCAATTGGTGCCACTAAAATATTGCTTTGCTTTGAGGAATGTGTATTGCTGTGATAAGTCATGCTAAGGGTCCACACATAGGTACTGGGCCGCCATGAAATCAGCATGCCATCAATGTCAGTATATTTGGACTTGGTTTATATACACATATATACATATATACGTACATATATATATATATATACACACACACACATATATATACATATATATATATGCATACATTTAGGGAGCCATTCTGCTGTGTGTGACAAGAATCTAGGGTGTCAATGTCAAATTCAATAATGCTGAACTCAATGGGGTGCTATGGGGAGCTAGCTCACCCTTTGGGGGCCTCAGTTTTCTCATCTATAAAGTATGGAGGTTGGTCTAGAGCAGAAGTTCCTATGCTGGGGTCTGTGAATTTAAAAAAAAAATCTGACAACTATTTCAAAATTACTAGTTTTGTGCTTTTAAAAACATTGTTCTGAGAAGGGGTCCATAGGCTTCACGAGACTGCCCAGTGGTTCCATGGTACAAAAAAGGTTAAGAATCCTTGGATTAGATGATCTCTGAGGGCCCTTCCAGTTTTTATATTCTGTGACTCTTTGATCTTCCTGATTTCTGATGATCCTGATTCCTGCAAATCAATCCTGACTGATTTAAAAGCCAGCTTTCCCAATCTTCCACCCACTCCCAGACTCTAAGACTTGTTGGTAAATGCTGTAAATATCAAGAACTGCTTCCTTCTTCCTTTCTTCTCCTGATGTTCTGCTGCAAGGTCACAAGGAATCAGGAACAGAAGCCACCATTAAGCTGCTGTTGAACTAAACACGAGTAAAACAGCAGGGCTTCTGACCATTGCACTCAGAGCTCTAGAGTGAATTGCACAAAACAGGTCAGAGGGTGAGCTGGGGGGGGGCGTCTTCAGCTGGACTGTGACCCCAGGAAAGGGAGGAAGCAGCCTTCTGGTGGCTTCCTATTTGAAATGATTTTTTTCTTGCTAGCTAAGGATTACGCTCAGTTATTTGTGAGCTGCCAATGGACTACATTAGCTATTAGCTATTAGCTCCTTCATTTTGGTACTCTGAAACAAAGTCCAGATCACTTTCACTTGTAGCTACAGTACTTACAACTACTCTAACTGCATTTTCTCGGCTTGTCTGGGAGACAATATCTACCTACCAGAGTCACAGAATGTCGGAGCCGGGAAAGACCTCAGAAGTCATCCACTCCTACCTGTACTGGAAAAAGGGTCTGTCTACAATGGACCCAAGTAACCTTTGCTTAAGACTTCCAGTGATGGGGAACTCACTACAGACCAAGGCAGCCCATTCCACTTGGGGATACATCTAGTTGTCAGGAAGGTTTTCTTTATTTCAGCTTTAAACTTGTGTCTTTGACATTCCCACTCATTTGTTCTATCTCTACTCTGTTGTTTTAAGCAAGAGTAGACAAAAAATAATGATATTTCTTATCTAGATTCCTCAAATTTCATCTTTAGGCTGAATTCATATAAACAATTCCATCTCCATAAAATGTAAATAACATGGAAGTTCCATTAACTAATTTTTTTATATAAAGTAATAAAGCACCTATATAGGTCCTACCCCTTTAGAGCAGACTTTAACAGAGGACCCCCATCATCTAATTACACTAAAAATTGGTCCTGTTAAATGTTGTTGGAAGAGTCCCAAGTTTGGAGATCTTTTAATTTTAAAGAAATTTTGGTTGTAACTAAATTGATGCTAATGACATTTTACTTTATACATTAATAGAGAAGTAGAGATGGCAACCATATCTTATGATGAAAATGCATGCAATTCACAAAGCTATAGAAAAACTTATAGTCAATTGTAACTGAAATATATTATTATATTAGTAAAGCATGTTAAAAGAATATAGTCTTAAATGACAATATCAGTCAAGTCAATGAAAAAAATCATAATTAGGGATGTGAAGAGAATGAAAAAAGGAGACACAGGCTATCCACCTTGTCTAATATTTTTCTTTTGCACTTATCTCTTACAGTCATGTAGCTTGATAATGCTTTCCTTTGCCCCTACAAATATCTGATGTGACCAGGTTTACTTTAAAAAATTTTTTTTAGTGTTCATAAATCAACTTATGCTCTTTATTTAGTATCTTGTCATATGCTATCTTGTACTGTTTTTAATTTTTTCATGTATTTTTGTCTTGACATCTTGGATGACATCAATACTTTCCTAAGGGCAGGGACCACATCTTAGGTTTCTTAGTATTCCTCGTATTACCTAGCATAGCATTCTACAAATATTAAATAAATGCCTAAACCTTAACTAGCAATCTTCGTGTTGGAATAGCAGCATACCTGGGACAAGCACCACAAAAATGTCCTCAAATCCACTTTGTAATTCAGAGTGTGAAAACAATGGAAGCAATTAGGAGAAATTCAGTTGAGTAGGAAGGAGGGTTTAGTAACTAGGGTAACTAGTGTGTTATCTAAATTTTGTCACCCTGGGACAGAGTCCTAGTGGTCCAGGTCTAGTTATGGCCCCGAGTGTATAAGTGGTCAATATTATGCCAATTGGTTGATTACTGAAAAAGATTCTGTTAAATCCCTATCCAAAAATCTTTAAAGGACAGGTTCAGAATAGCATCCAGAACAAGAGTCAAGACAGAAGTAACATAAGCTTAGTTCATTTCAAGTAAAATTAGATAATTCTAGGACTTTTTTTCGATAGAAGAAAAAGCACAAGGTTTGACCTTAAGGTAAAAAGAAAGTCACAGTCAGCCTTTTGAATTGTTCATTTGGAATGATCAGCCTAGCCCTCCTTGGGGAGGTCTCCTCCCAGGTCACTTACAAATGTGTTTTGTAAAATATACGTATAACCAGAACGGCTGCCTTGGACCTGGATTTGCCTCCCAGATTGGCTGCTCACTGGTCTCTTCCCTGGGCCTCTGTAAAATGAAGGCGTTGGCCTAGATGGCCTGTGAGGTCACTGCCAGCCTCATATCTATGATCCTAATCATGTCCATGCTGAACCTGTCAGGGTTTCAACAGAATGACCAATGGGGTACAAGTAGTAAGACATATGCTGGCTCTTTCTTTTCTACTTGACAGGCATCCAAAGTAAGGCGTGAAAGTCTGCCAGAACCTTTCATGCCCAAAGTTGGTATTTTAGCAGCTACACCTTCTGTCAAATCTGACCAAAAGGTATGGCCGTGACCATGATATTTGATCCTGTGGCAAAGGCAGGGTCCTGAAAAGAGCACCAGATTAGGAGTCTGGAGATGTAGGACTCCACCCTGTCCAGCTGCAGTGATGTTACGCGAGTCCCTCTCTGAACCTGGGCTGTCTCAGCTGTGCACGGATGAAAGCTCCAATTGTCCTGCCTACTTCCTAGGGCTGCGATGAGGACCAAGAAGGTGACCTCTGTAAAGCATCTCGAAAATGACGCAATGCAAGAGAAACAAGAGATGCTGGGAAGGTCTTAGAAATCCAGACGAGTTGAGCTGTTTATCAAGCGCAAGGTACTGAGTTAGAGCCCTGTGTTTGATAATTAGCCAGAGGCAGTAGATTTTCTACAAGCGAATTTCTAGTCTTCGTCAGTCAGTGGCTCATCTGAAAGGTTTGTGCGATGCACAGCAGAGATCTGTCTATACCCGTCTCAATTTTCACATCTCCCCATCCCCAGACAGTTAAAATGTGAAGTTTCACAGATGAATTTTTCAAAACATTTTTGAACATTTAAAGCATTTACTAAAATATTTCAAATGAATAGGCGAGCCTTTCCTTTCTCTATTTTCTTAGTTGACGCTGTTATGCTCTCCAAGCAAAATGGGTTAGGAAGAAAGACCATTCGTTTTAAACTTGACTTTTCTGTGCACGAAGCTAACGGTTCCCAGCACGCAGCCCCTCACTTCGCCATTGGCTCTCACCTACGTTTCAGGAGGCCACTAAAGTCAAGTTCTCCTGCATCGTCTTGTCCTTCGCCGCTGTTGTTAATAAAAGAAAAGCAAACCGGTGCTTACTCACTGAGACAGGAACCACCATCCATCGCAAACACTCTACAGAGGACGTATATGCAATTCTTTTTTTTTTTTTTTGGCACACCAGGAACAGGACTAAAACCAACACAAACTTGTATTCCTTTTCACACAAGGGACAGGTTCCGTTTCCAGCAGGTACTCTTGTGGAAAAGTCAACACAAGGACTTGTGTTGTGCTCCAGTTTCAGAAGAGTTTCTGTGATTTGCATCATGGGAAGGAGGGTTCACATCGATGAGATCACAGACCCAGAGAAGTACCCACATTCCGTGGATTGCATATATATCAAGTTGCGTAGATTTGTGTTACAATGGAGTAACACAAATGCTTTCAAGCCAACCAGCAGAAAGGACTTTGTTTTTGCAACTTTGGGGTCTAGACAAAGGACTTTGGTGATCTCCGTCACGCAGGGGGACAGAGATTGGCTTTGTTCTAAAGAACACCAACGTCAAATACACAGAGGAAAGCCTTGCGGCCCAAGTTACCCTGGTGGTGTCAGTGAGCGGATGACTCAGATGACATGTTCAAAAGGAAAAAAAAATCCAACATTGTGTATGCTTCCGAGGTGGAGACAGAGGGCAGCTTATTGAAAGATGCATTCCTTTTGGTGTTAAGGGGAATGAATCGTTTTTGGCTGCAGCAGCAATATTTACTCAAGTTTTTTTTTTCTTTTTTTAAGCCTGTAAAGAAACAGTTCTTTGGGCGTCATTGAATTGGCAAAGAAGTTTCTACTATTAATTCAGTAAATCATCACCTATAGAAGAATGCATCTCAGATTTGGCATGCAGTCACCTTTTTGGCTAGAGATTTCACTGAGACTGAGCAGAAGCTAAAGAATCGCATCAAAATGGTACCATTTACTTACATGTTTAAAATTTAAAATGGAGGTTTTGTTTCCTGCTGTTTACAAATGTTATTTATAGTTTCCTAAGAAAGCGTCTGTGGGGTTAAAAAAAAACAATGTGCATACAATAACAAGTTATAATGGTTCAAGGAAAAAACTTACGTTTCCAAAAATTTTATTTTAAATTCATAGCAAACATTTGCAGCAAGGAGAGGCCCTTCTGAGGTATGCACATTTCTATATTTCCAAGAACATGAATTTGCATATTGGGTTTTTTCTCTTCCTTATGGAATAAACCTGTTCAGAATACAAGCTACTTTTTAAGGCAAATATTTGCAACGCCCTGCTTAAAAATTGTGGTTAGAGACAGGGAGGGTACCAGGACTTGAAGTGTTCCAATGTCATTGTTCCCAAAGGGAAAAAGAAAGTTGCCTATAGGGTTATCAGGAAACAGTAACTCTTATTTCATTTGTTGGTTCATTAATTAAGCAAACATTTATATTTTCACTAATTAAGACAGTAGAAGGGCAATAATGCTTAAAACAAAAAATAAATTAAAAAATCTAATCATAGTTTCTTTCATTGCTTTGAAACAAAGATTCTAATTCAAGAAAACTTTTTTTAGGTTTAATGAATAAAATATAAATGCTACATTGGGCAAAACATTTAACCTAATTAAAGAATTAGTACCATATCACATTAACTTCCATCAGTCAAGGAATGGCAGTAAGGGGCAGGGCTATTTGTGGTGTGCATTTCTTCTGCAAACTATTTCAGCTCCTTTCTAATCCATCTATTCTGACCACATTATTATTCATCCCTTCTACATTTGTCAAAATCATATTAGGCGTCTATGTTTTGTCAGACTCTAGTTTTTTTCTGCTCTTCAGTAGTCTAATTTGTGCAATGCAATATTTAAATGATGCCAATTTCCATGGCAGGTCACATGTTGGGTCAGGGGGCTTTTGATATACAAGTTAAGAGTTTGTTAAATGCACTGAAGGCTCTGTGGTCTTTAGATGAAAAGCAACATAGATGGTAAGTCTCTCATACTACCTATCTTATGCCATGTAAAGGAAATAATATATGGATTTTAAAAGGAATAAAGAAACACATTTCTAAACCTTATAAGCCAAACCCTGGCCCATACTTTATGCATGACTCCAATACATTTTTTTATATACTGGCTTCTTAGATTTGGTTATGTAACTAGGCTATTTTTGAAGGAAAGTCCTTGAAGGCAAGAAGGCATGCCTAAAAGACAATCATTTTCCAATTGGCACAGGATTATTTGACCTCAACTTGGCAGGGTTTAACCTTCCCAAAGCAGCCTGGGGAAATTCCCATGATGTCAACTAACTAGACAAGACCAGACAGGGTCTCTAGGAGCATGGCAGGTCACTAACACTCATGTCACTGCTCCCTAGAAAAGTACAAAAATGGTCACTGAGCTGACAGCCTACTAGGTAGGCAACCAACTGCCCCCTGGCCGGCTCTGACCCTGTCAGTCTCTCAGAAGCTGCTTATCTACACGATTAATTCAACATGACTAGTAGGGGACGTTTTGGCTTACATAATAAGGATCTTCTCTAATATGGACCGGGAGTAAATTTGTCCCAAAGATGTCCCAGAGGAGCTTGAAGGTACTATAACTATAAACAATGGACTTAAACAATGTTCTGCAAACAGTGCACTTCATATCTAGGGATGTTGAGGGGTATTAAAGGCAATCTCATCTACAATCCAATCTAAAAGCTCCTAAACCTAGGGAGATAGAAAAAAAGATAAGGAAAGAAAATTTCTTAAAGTCCTTCAGTCTAGGGATCTCCCAGTTACTGGGAGATAGTGAGGCAGCAGAAAGAGAGCTCACCTTGAAGACAGGATAACCTGGATTTAAATCCTGCTTCACATACTCAAGCTGTATAACCCTGGACAAGTCACTTAACCTATCTGTACCTCAATTTTCTCAGCTGAAAAATGGGCATCATAGCACCTGCCTCATAGGGGAAGGTTGTTGGGCAAACTGAGTCTCTACTAAGCTAAGGTGAGGAGACTTCAAAGAAAGGAAAGCTGTTTTCATTCTCTACATGATGGCCAGAGCCACTACAGAGGGGAGCATCCTTTCAATAGTTAAAATTTTTAAACGGGTGAGTGTGTGTGTGTGTGTGTGTGTGTGTGTGTGTGTGTGTGTGTGTGGTTGTGGCTGTGCTCATTGTCTACACACAATCTGAGAAAAACACATCTGTTTCAGGAAAAAAAACTCTGTCTTTTGAAGACCAACGTGACCCTTGGGAAAATGTGGGTTTAACTGGAGCAAGTTCGTTCTAAGACTGATCGTACATTAAACTTGGCATGGCCCCCCAGCCCACCCCCGGGCCACTCCCATCGCTAGCCCTCTGGTTGGTCTAGCCTGGAACACATGGAAGGTGTGAGCCCGCCAGTGACTGCAGTCCTATCAACGGGATGCGGAGTGAGGAGGAGAGGGACACCTGGGCTGTTCTCCTATCCAATGTTATTACATAAGTCCTATGTGTTCCCAAGATGCCCATGAGAAGTTACCTTCTTTTGAAAGCAGATCTGATATCGATGTTCGGAGTGGTTCCAGTAGATTCTTTAAAAGAAGAGAAAATAACAAAGTTATCGTCCATGAAGAGAAGGTGCTCCAGCTGAAGTGGAGCTACATGCAGCTTGGTGCAGGGGAGGCAGAGGACCTGGATTCAAATTCTATCTGTGTAACCCCACAGACATCACTGGGTGTCTCTGGCCCTCAGTTTCTTCACCCCGCTGTGCTTCTTTCTTGTTCTGAATCTATAATCCTATGGTTCTACTGTCTCTCGGATGATCTTGGAGATCGTCTAGTTCAACCTCCCAAACAGCATGAAAATCCATTCTGCATGAATACTTCTGACAGGGAAGTCAAGCTTCTTCTTGAAAATGCTAGTGATGAGGAGCTCACTCTCTACTGAGGTCCCCTTTGCCACTGTTGGGGAGCTTTGACTGATAAGAAGGTCTTTCTTAGGATGAACCTAAATCTTCCCCCTCGAATGTGGGAATGAAACGAGCTTACTCCTGCCTCTGACACTTACTAGCTGTGTGACCTCAGTTGGGAAAAACCAGTTCATCTCTCTGGGTCTTCCTTTCCTCATCTATAAAAATGGATGGGCTAGTACTACCTGGAACAGCATCATTTCAAGGACTGCATGAGAAAGTACAGGAAAACAGTTTGAATCCTAAGGCATACTTCAAGGTAAGCCATTATCTAAGTCTCTATCCCTTGGTCTTAGTATGGTCCTTTGGGTACAAAATGAAGAGCAACCCAATGTATGGAGGGCTGTGCTACCCTTTAGGCTTCCAGGCAGGAGGGTACAAGGGGATAGATCACTGGGTTTGGGGTCAGAAGACACAAATCCCAGACCTGGGCTCTTCATTTATGAAGCGTAGGAAAATAGGCAAGTCTCTCTGAGCTGCAAAGTGGAAAGGCCTGGACTGGATGACCTTCAAAGACCTGAAGACTGCCAGCTCTAAAATGCTACGGGTGGCTTATCTTCTCTCAGTTGAACTACAACCAGTTTCTTTAACTATCCTTCTTATAATTCACTTTTGTAAAAGGTTTACAAAGCACTTTCCTCAACAGCCCTGCGAGTGGAGGCCTGCAAGTATTATTAGGATTCTCACCTACACCAAGAGGCCCTTCCCCATCCCCCCTTTCAGATTTCCTTTCCTCTACTCTTGGGAGTACCTGGTAGTTTGCATGTTGTCTCCCACTCCCATAAGAATGTGAGCTTCTTACAGGAAGGACAATGTTTCTGTCTTTCTTTGTATCCCTCGTCCTTAGCACACCACCTAGCCAACGGAAGTGCTTAATACATGCTTGCTTGTTGACTTGACTTCCCATCTTGTAGATTGGGAAGCCAAGGCTCTAGAAGGTAAAGTGATTTTGGAATTTGAACCTGGATCTCCTGATTGTAACTTCAGAATTCTTTCCACTAGCCCACATTATCTTTATTCCTTATAAGACCTAGAGTCCAGAACCTTCACCATTCTGGTCATGCTTTTCTAGACACGCTTTAGTTTGTCAACACTGGCCTCAAGCTGTACGTGGTCCTCTAGCTATGTTCTAACAAGCTGAGGGTGCCATGAGATTATTACCTCCCACGTTCTGGACTTTAAACTCCTACTAGCGTGGCTCAAGCTTTGCCATAGTTCTTTTGATGGGGTGGCAAAGATCTATTACGCATCACATTATTGGTTGATAACGAAGTTTTGTAGTTAATGAGGACTTTTTCACACAAATTGCTTCTGGGTGAGGTTTCACACGTTCTTTCTTGTCTGTATAATTTTTTAAAATAGCCTTTAAAATTTTAACCCCTGTCTCATTTCTTCTACTAAAGGCCTACTCTGGGGCCTCATCATGGGAGGGGAGGTAATCTGGGTTCTCAGAGGCTAACCTGGATGATTAAAACACTCAGAGAGTTTCTACTGAGCTGGGAAGGCTTCTGTTATGGACCCAGGTACAGATTTTAAGTCTGTCATCCAAGGACTAGACCAGAAAAACTTGGCAAGGGTCATCACCAGGAGGCTGGACACCAGAGGATGATTTTTTAAAAGCTATAGTATCTTATGAATATCATCTCCTGAGACATAGTTGGGCTGCAATATGCTTTAGTGGAAAAGTCTTCCCACTAATAAGATCATGTACCTGTGTAGTATTCAAGTATATCTTCTCCTACTAATTTCGCTTCAAAATCTAAACAAAAACTATGAGCAATTCTAGCCTGAGGCAAGTAAGTCTCCCTTCCCAGTGGTATGAAGGATACCCTGGATGTCCTTCCAGTCTTGAGCAATATCCCGCCCTCAAAAAATATATTTTGTTAGGTAATTGGAGTTAAGTGACTTGCCCAGGGTCACTTAGCCCTCAAAAAACATTGAAAGAGGAATCAGACCCCGAGTAATCAATCTTTTTGGCAATAGCAAACACAATATTACTAAGTTTGATGCGCTCCGGCTGGCTCCTTAGAGGAATGAGGTGAGTAATTTCTCAAAGCAAAGTTAGAACTAGCATTTTTATGTCTTGGGCAAATAACAAAAAACGGTTCTCAAGTCAATCTTTAAAGACAAATTCAGTTGTCAGTGGCAATAGAGACCCTGGAACAAGGATCCCCACGGGCAAAGATTCCAGGAAACAAAGGGCAGAGGGAGATTAGGAAGGGCTCATCTAAGGTATAGCAGCTAGGAGGAAGAAGCTACTGGTTAGCTTCATGTTTTAACTAATTACTTTAGCTAGCTAAGTGCTCAGCTCAGTTTCTTTTTCACCAATGGACTGCAAGGGCTGCCAACTTCCTCTGAATTTCAGCACCTAGCAGAAATGCCCTAATAGGCCCATCCTAGTTCCAGTCCTATGTTTAAGCCACAGGAATTGATGGTTATCAATTCACTTTCAGATTAGCCCATAATATTCAGAGGCCTTGTCAAATCCATTGCAGTCAGAGGCATAAATTAATATTTTATGAAGGAATTCCTTTCCTAGGTAGCTAGTGCTTGGTATTCCTTGCAAAGAAGCAGGAAGATCCAAAGAGCAACAAGCCCTTACCATGAACTTCCAGGTCAAAGGAACAGGTGTCGAACTTGTCCTTGTAGGACACTTCACACCTGTAGTTTCCAGCATAGTTCTCCTTGGCTTTGATGATCTGCATCTCGAATGTGTACATCTGAAAAGAGATGGGTTGGCATAATTCACCCCTGTCTTATGAGTACAGAGCTAACAATCACAACGGTCATATATTGGAAGCTGACTCTTTGACTCCTGAGCACAAGTGGACGGACATCCTCATGACTAGTCATTGGTACAGTGGAAAGGGCACCTGGCTCTGGAGCCAGAAGAAGGGAGCTCAAATCCTGCATTTGATGCAGGCTCCCTGCGTGATCCTGGCAAATCAAATCACTTCCCTGGGGCTCAGCTTCCTCACCTGCGGAATTAGAGGCCCCTTCCAGGTATCACACCATACCTGGGTGATCTTGGAGAGATGACTTAAGCTCCTGGGCCTCAGTTTCCACATCTATCAGCTTATGGGGGGGAGGGGTAAAATAAGGGTGTCGTACTAGCTGGCCTCCTTTTCCCTTCCGTCTATGATCCAGTTCTTAGAAGGTGTCTTGCCTGCCAGAAGGACAAGCAGACCTACAAAAATGGAGTGTGTCGTGTGGGACAGCAATGGAGTGGAAGCCTTCACTAAGTGCAACAGCCTCAGATTTGTTGTCAGCAGGAGGAGGATGCCCAGGACAAGCACTCTTTTAGAAGACATAGAGAACGATAACCAGGAAATCCAGTATCTAGATCAGATTCAGATGAGAAAGCGGGAAGCCCGTGGGTGCCTGCTGGGGAGGCCTACGAGCTGCCATCACTGCTGGTCCTGGAGCTGGGGCTGGGCACAACCCCTCCCCACCACGCTGCCTCCTGGGCAAAGGCCCAGTCACAGCTCTAGGGAAAGCCATCTTAGCGGGCAAAGACAATGAGCAAATGCACTCTGAGGTCAGGACCATACCCTTGTTTGCCTTTCAAAGGTTTCCTTCAGCTGAAGATGTTTCCCAGCTTTGCTGGCCAAGTCCATCCATTTTCCCTTGAACCATTTGACGGTGGGTTTTCGAAGAAGATCTTTGGCCTCAACTTTGGCTATAAAGGTAATATTTTCACCTAAAAAAAACCACATACAATTCCAACTTCGGTTAAAAATGTATTTTTTTTTGTTTCATTATCAGCTACAAACAATTATTTCATTACCAGATACGCAGAATGACCCAAACAATTCTGTCATACTTGAAAAGTTAATGAAAATGCTTTATTCCCTACAGATATTTTAGAATAATACTAATACTACTAATAATGATTGTTAGCATTTATATAGTGCTTTAAGATTTGCAAAGTGTTTTACAAATATTATATAATTTTATCTTCACAAAAACCTTGTGAGGTAGGTGCTGTTATTATTGCCATTTTACACATAAGGAAAGAGAGGCATACAGAGGTTAAGTGACTTTTCTATGGTCATACAACTAGTAGTATTTGAACCTGGATTTGAACTCAGGTCTTCCTTCCTCCAGGTTCAGCACTCTCTTGACTGTGCCACCAAGCTGCCTTAGAACTACAAATAAAATGTTCAGTTTTACAAGTCAGAGGACGTGGCTGAAGGAGTACTACCAAATGTACCAATTAAGTGACCACAGACTATCTACATGGCTGGACAAGAGACTGGGACCTACTGGTGGAAAACTAAAACTTGCTGCCGTTATAATATTGAGTTATTATCCCAGAATTAAGATTCACTGAATGTTTCAAACAACATTCAAGGAGTATACACTTTTCAGACATGGCCTAAAATTAATTGAAAAAGTAGCCTTTGAATTAATTAAGTTGCAAACCTTTATTTATGTATTTTTTATTCACCAATTACAAAGACTAGCTTTGTCACACTGCTCAACAGGAGAGGCATGAGACTCAGCCTGTGAATTCACTGTTATAGGGATCTCTTGGGTGAGGAAAATCCCTCTGCCCATGCAGGTCACCAGCTTCTCTGCAACTTCTAACCTTAGAGAATGGCCCAGAGACCTGAGAACAGAGGGGACTGGACCAGGGTCACATGATCAGTCTCTGTCAGAGGTGAGGTTTGAGCACTCAGTGTTCCTGGCTCCAACACCAGCTCTCCATTCACCATACCAGGGGCTGTCTCTATGGAACTCTCTCTATACCTTCTATTCAACCTTCAAAAACATTCAAATCTTTACATATTTTAGTAATATAATTATCCCTTTAAAAAATCACAAACATTCTCCCAGTAATGCTAGATGCTTGTGAATCTTGGAATACAACTGCCTTTGAAAAAGCAAAGTTGCCAGTGACCCAATAGGCATAGGAGGGAGACAGGAGGGTCTTGAGTCAGCTTCAGTGCTAGGGTTGTTCTTTGTCCAAGGAGTGGTGGAAGGGAAGTTATTGAGGAAGCATATGATAAGAAAGAGAGGTGGGCTGGTCCCATAGCCAGAAAGGATACTAATTGCACAGGATAAAATAGCATAGATGGGCTTTGTTCTGCCCAGATAGAGAGAATAGCCACATCAGCGAGGTCCCAGATGATCCACTGAAGTATTGATGGAATGGATAATCAAACTACCTAACTGCCTATCAGACCCTACACAGCACAGGTCTGTGTGCATATATTCACCATACCTATGAAATGTAAAACACCAGGGGCAACTAAGTGGCACAGTGGATAGAGATCTGGCCAGCCCTGGAGTCAAAAGGACCTGAGTTCAAATTCGGCCTCAAACACAAAATACTTACTAGCTGTGTGACCCTGGGCAAGTCACTTAACCCCACTGCCTAGCCAAAAAAATAATGAAAAACATCATGACAGTGGAAGGTCATCAGTTTCTGCATTGTTAAGATAACTAGCTAGCTAGACAGACAGATAGAATGATGGATAGATGAAATTTTATATATGTCTATATATCTATATATCTAGGTAGATAGAATGATAGATAAATAGAACAATAGGTAGATAAATGACAGATGTAATGATATGTAGATAGAATGATAGAATGACAAAGGTATAGATAGATCCATAGATGATATAGACAGACAGACAGACAGATAGTGAGATAGATCATACACAGGTAGAAAAGGCATGTATTAAGGACTTACTATGTGGCAGGCACTGGGAATACAAACACAAGCAGGGAGGACAGTTCCCTCCCTCAAGAGCATCACTAAATTCTAGGCACTCACCAACTTTCACTGTTCCATTCTGAGGTTTCTCCACAAAGAGCACACTTTGGGAGGTGTTGGCGTTCTGCTTATCCTGTTCTTCCCCGACTGGGGATTCACCAAGAGACCATTCTAAGAAGCAGGAAATAAACAGATCACTTTCCAGGTAAGGTTGTCCCCAGAAAGAAGACTTACCTGTGCTCAGTGTTTGGATTAACTCAGGAACTAACTTTCTTTTAAGGCAATAGCTTAACTCTCCCATTTTTCACAGGGTAATGAGTTTCTGTAAAATGAGATCTTACAGTTTTTGTGAAAATAGCTCTCCATGATGGTGGAAAAAAGACATTAGAATAAGAACATTTCTAGGCAGAGGGAAATTTGCGAACAAGTAGTAGGAATTTACCAGTCTTATTTTCATCATCGTGTTTCTAAACCAGCCTAATCTTTCTTTTCGAGGTACACGATAGTAGCACATAAATGGATATGTCCATGTCCATGTGACTGCTCTAAAGTTAGATGGAACCAGCAGAGCCCATCAATCCCTGAGGGGGAGGGGAAGAAGGATTAAGGAGATTAGGTGAGTATTCCCAGGCTGATGGCTTTGCTTGATAGATGCATGAGGGAAGGCCAACTAGCCAATCCTGTTTCTCATCCTATGGATCAGCCCATGATTTAGGCTCTGTAACGAGCTACAGGTGAGGAGCTTTGGCTTGTCCAAATATTACCTGTGATATTACCATATCATCTATGACCAGGAAGTCCAAAAGTGACTTCCTGAATCAAGAAAAGTCTTCAGCATTCCTAGCCATAATGAGAGAAAAGTTCACAGAGTATTGACTCTTTCTGTTCCTTCCTTCCTTTCTTTTTCCTTTCTTCCTTCCACCTTTCCTTCCCCACCCCCCCGCCATTTCTTATTTTTTAATCAAGAGAATTCTCTCATGTTGGGGGCTCCAAGGAAAAAGTCAAACTGGGATAACAGTGCTTAGAAATCATACAGAACTGCAGGCAGCTCTGCTCAGAGGAGAAAGACTGGAGAGGGAACGCCAGGCATTGCTTGATCCCTGCAGTCTGTATACAAAGCAGCCAGCTGAGAGCTGTAGGAAAGAGGAGCAGTTTCAGCAGCTGTTATTCAATGGCCGGAGAAAAAGCATAACCGAGTGAACAAGTCGTAGCTGTTTCCTGAACCATAAGGAAGTTGACATAGAATGCTTTCCACTTTCATTTGAAAGGGAGGCAGCTTCATTTTCCAACAACATACTGCCTACAGCAAGGTGAACATTTCTGTTAACTTTTGGTTTCGTTATTTAGAAAGCCAATGACCAATATTTATACTGGGACAGAGGGGTCGCCCAATGCTAGTTCTCACACGCATTTTGATGTTGATGTTTTATACTGTATAGATTTATTTTGTCAAAGGATAGGGATAGGGACTGGGCCTGCGACATCATTGATATATGGAACTGTCAGGTGAGGAAACTCCCTCTACCAATGCAGGCTGACATTTTCTCTTGCAATGTGTAGTCTCAAAGGGTTCCCTGGGGCACTGAGATGTTAAGTAATTTGCCCAGGGTCATGCTTGCATGGGCTAGCGATTAGACTTGAATCCTGGTCTTCCTGGCTTCAAGAATGGCTCTCCATTCACTGTGCTGTCTACCATTTTGTCAAGGAACAGAATTAAAAATGCATCTAGTTTATAGCGATATGCATGGTGGTCCTCGAGAGACATCTTCCTGTGTTGCCTCATTATGGGGTGGAAGTGACCTTGGGTGCTCTGAAGGTTAAGACATCAGAGCACAAGCTTTGGCAGGTTCTACCAGGCAGATACATCTTTGAACACGGCCAAGGTAACCAACTGGCATTGCTGCCTGAGGGCCAGGAGGCTCATCTCCAGTAGGCTGGCCATTTGGTGACAAATCCATTGGCCACAGCAACCTAGGAAGCTCACGAATGGGAACGGTTAAAGGGGCCTGGTCTCCCAGCAGACTAGGGAAAGTCACATATTTCTCTACTTGTCAAATGACCCTCTTTTATCCACTCTGTGCCGCTTCCAGGGCCCAAATATAAGGCAGGGTTGGATACAGGTCATGTCCTGTTATAACCAAAATATCTTTGCAATGACAGCAATTTCAAGTCTTAGATGATGGCTTACTCATTTTAAAGAAGGGTGATGAGATTGGATCTGCCTACTGATTCCTTATTTTCTCAACTGTCACCTCAGAGGATCTCCATTGGTTCCTATGCAACAGCAACTGTCTCTCTTCAGGGTGACCTCAATGTATCCTACTGACTATTCATTGGGAATATGTGTACATGGAACAGCCCAGAAGACCACGTCCTAGGGTAGGAGTAGAACAGGGTATTTTAAATAATTATTCTCGCCAATCAGTTGCTAAGTACAGTTCTCCCCCAGCTGCTTAAAATGCTATCAAATTGTACATGGAACTTTTTTTTTTTGATGAGGCAATTGGGGTTAAGTGACTTGCCCAGGGTCACACAGCTAGTAAGTGTCAAGCGTCTGAGGCCGAATTTGAACTCGGGTCCTCCTGACTCCAGGGCCAGTGCTGCATCCACTGCACCACCTAGCTGCCCCAGAACAATTTTTTAAATAGTGCAATCTTTTAGAGTCATTACATCTTCATACTCCCTAAATTCTGGTGCCCCTGGGCAAAGTTCTCCTGTTGCCCTGCCTTGGGCTCGACTCCACTCTTATTTCGGTCTCCCTTCTCACGTTGCTCAAAACTCTACAGCCGCAGTTTATCTGCAGTTAGCACAGCACCAACCTTGGTGTCCGACCAGCCCCAGAAGTCTGCCTTCCCTTGCCCTATGCACTCATGCCTTCCCATCATGGTCTTCATTGATGCTGATGTATCCTGGGTTTCAGTAACTACCCCATTCTAAAATACTAACAGAAGAATCAATTTTAAGTGGTGCCTTGTGGAGACAAGGGTCCTACTTTGTACATAACCCATTAGTGACTGTAAAAGCCCAAGGCCATACAAAAGGAGGAGTAAAGTTATCTTATTTGGGGACTTGTAGTGCCCTTCACACCCCGGGGGCCTTCCTATTTCACCTGTGATTAACTCCAACCCTGTCAGACTAGGTTCATATTAATCAATGTTCCCTATTTCTTCACTCCCTTCTTTTCCATAGCTATATATAGTACACCAATTTCAATTAGGCAAAAATGTATTAAGGGGCAATGCAATTTATTTATCCTTGACAGGACAATGAAAGGAGACCTTTCTTTCCTTTTTTTTTTCTAGAAAGGTTTCTAGAAAAAGAATTTTACTGAAAAAAATATCTTACAATCTGATCCTATTATGTTTATGAACTTTTGTTTCCTTAATAAATAAGCTCTATGAGCCAATAAGCATCTTTAAGCACCTCCTATATCCCAGCACTGTGCTAAGTGCCAGGGATACAAAGAAAGGCAAAAACAGTCCCTGCCCTCAAGGAGCTCATAATCTAAAGAGGGAGACAACATGGAAGCAACTATGAAGGAGAAGGTATATATCAGATAAATTGCAGATGCTCTCAGAGGGAAGACGTTTATGTGAAGTAGGGACTAGTAAAGGCTCCTTGTAGAAGGTGAGGATTCAGCTGACACCTGAAGGCGGCCAGTCGCTAAGAATGCAGATAGTCCTTCCTGTATGACTTCTTGATCTCCACGTTTGATAAATATTGTAGAAGCATAATATCTGGCAGAAGATAAACATCTTGAGGACAGGAAGTGGCTTCCTTTTCTATTTTTATCCCTAGGACTTTACCGCAGTGTACATAGCACACATTAAGTACTTAATACCTTTTCATTTGTTGTTTCATTTTGTCTTTGTGCTGGGCACACAGTTGGTATACCTGGTAAATGCTTGCTGAATTGACTTGAAACAAAAGTAATGATAAAACTTGACTGAACTTTGAAAATTTACCTCCCCCCCCATATATATGTATGTAATTTCCACTGATGTCCTAACAAAGTGATATTCTTGTCAACAAAACACACTAGAAGGTTACAAGGGAGGATAAGACTGAAATAAAACAAATGTTAAAAGTCGAACCATAGAATCAACACCTTTAAGGAAAGAGAGCATTAGTGGTCAGTCATTTGAAGACACAAATGAAATGTCTCGTTTATTCAGGAATGCGCTCACCTGAATCTTTCCTCTCCAGAGCCCGGGCATTGATATCTGAAAGGAAAGAGTTAATTTGGATGACACTGTTAAAAGAATTTGGGATGACTTCATATCCTCTTAGTCCTCCCAAAAGCTGGCTCTTCTATTGATAGAGAGAACGCTGAAGTTGGTTTATGTGATAAATCACCAGGAGCTTTGTAAATATAAAATATATGTACACATGAAAGCATATGACAGGACTGGAAACTCAAGCACTACTATTTTTGTGAAATTAGCATCCCAAGTCATATTAATTTTATTTAATTCATTAAGCAAGGTTTCCTTTTTCAATACTGTGAAAATTATAGTCCAAGCCAATGTTTTTCTTTTAGTTTCTGGCCATGGAGCCATCCTGGGTGAAATCCCAGGGAGCTTGTGGCTCAGAGTTCCACGTAGCAACTGACTTAGACTTCCTTTTTTCTAGCCAATTAATAATTAACTTAAATTTAAAAATGGGAACCATCCTAACCTGCTGGCAAGGCACTGGGTAGAGAGACATCACCTTCACCTGGAAAAAAGAAATAGGAAGAAAATAATCAAGGGAAAAAGAGCCTTGTCCAAATTAACCTTCTTTGAGGGGTGAGGAATGGGAGTGAGGTGGCAGTAGAAGAACCAGAGATGAACTGAGAAAATGACACCTGCAGAAAAAAAGAGGAAGGAACCAGTTGGAGAGAGAACTTCAAACTAAAGGATAAAGTTCAGAACCCTCAGGAGGTAAAGTGGTGACTCAGTGAAATAAATTTAAAAAGCGCAGGCAGCAGACCCACTAAACTGAATCAAAGGTTTAGGGAAGATGAGCTGTGGGGAAAGTTCTCTGCAGGGCTGAGAAAAGAGGTAACATGGAAATCCCCGCACGGTGAAACCAGAGTCAGTAGCAGATCAGATCACAGATTGGGGGCTGGAAGGACCCTTAGAGATCGCCTGATCTAACCTCCTCTCTTTATATATCATTGGGTCATAGATTTAGAGTTGGGATATAGGTACAGTCTCATCTTTTGTAGAGGAGGAAATGGGCCTAGAGAGGTAAGGATGACTTGCTCCAGGTCACATAAGTAATAGGTGGCAGAGCTGGGATTTGAACCCAGGTCTTATGAACCCAGATGCAGTGCTCTTCCCACTAATCCACATTACCTCTCTTATCTGAGGGTCACATTAATTCAGTAATTTCCTTTTCAGCAAGCAAAATGTCTGTCCTTTATATTATTAACACATTTGCATTGTTTTGGACATAAGCATGAATCAATGTTCAAGAATACATCTTTTCTGAAAGATTAGAAATAATAAGCAAATTTGGCCTATGTTTAACCAACACCTTAAAAGTGTTTGAATATTTAATGCCCAGCACACTAAAGGAAAATGTGAAGAAGAACAGGGGTGCAAGTAGGCCATAGTCCATTTGCAAACATGACCTTCACGCAAGAATTTGTCCTTCTTACTAAATACATCACAAACCATTTAAAGATCTTTGTAACAATTTTTCCAGGATGAATGTTATTGTTATTTAATTCTGTATATTATTTATAAATATTTCATCAGCTATACATACAAAAGATAAAACTGTAAGTATGGTGGCAGCATATTTATTGTATTTCATGCATGGATACTCACTAGACATCTGAGTAAAATGCTTGAACTTCAAATACAATATTATCCAAGGAATAATATTAATTTTAGATCTTGAATAAAAGAGTCTTAAAACTCTAGCAGTGTTGGGTGCTTCTCATTTAAGACCATAACAATTCATGAGGACCACCTACTAAGGTGTAAAGGGGTTTGGTAGAGGGAATACTCACACCAATGAAACAACAGATCTTTTGAACTATTGAAAATGCGTTGGGCTAAAAAAAATTAAAAGCATGAAATATCACTGTTTAAAAATGGTTTTTAAAGCTGCCTCAAAACTTGTGAAAATGTTTGACTGAGTATGAATTCTTTAAAAAAGTAACCCTAAAATAGTGCATAAAATTAGATCTAGAAAACTATTATACATTTACCACAATAAATATTTTGAGAACTTTCTCAAGAAAAATACATATATTAGACCATTTTAAGAAGCAAAATCATTTGGAATTATCTACTTAACACAAACACCACATTTTCTTGTATTTAATGTAGAATTTGAATACACATGTGATTCACCTACCTGAGATGCTTTTTTGATGTTTTCTGCCTCATCAGAGGTGTATTTTGGGCTACAAATGACGTATATGTAATTTGTCTTTATAGCCAGAGCTGTGAAGACAGTCATATCTGGTAAACATAGCCCCAAATTGGAGTTAGGGTGCACATTCAACACAAAAATGTGAAAACTTCAGAGGCTATTAAAGTCATTGAAATATATTCTGCATTTCAGATGACTGGAGATTCTATATCACATCTCCTGGAACTTTGCTACAACATTATTCATGATAGAAAGAACTCAGTGTAAAATGAGTTCTAATCAAAGATTTCCAAAGGATGTAAATTACTGAAATAGCTAAAGGATTTCGTTCTCTGTTTCCCTCTACTCCAAAATGGTGCCATGTTCTGGTCCCTTATATTTATATTATCATTTGGCTTGTGTGTTGCTGCAAAAATGGAAATAAATTACCATTTATCAGAAACTTATCAAAGAACTTCTATAAATATTGGCAAGGAAATGAAAAATGAAAAACTAACTGAAAAAGACATATCATCCTTCACTTTTTTGTTTATTTGGTTGGTTTGGGAGGGCCCTAATGAACATCAAACTTGTCTCTCAGATCTTTGGGTTAATTCCTTACTAGAAGGAAAGATAGTCTTCACATGCTTTTGTAAAATCATGAGAATTATACAAAAATTAATTGAAGATAATTTTGATGGACCAAATCATAGTGGATGAGTGCCTTCAAGTTTAGTGAAAGTCAGGTATTTAAGACAATATTCCAAAAATGAACAATTTTGAAAGATGTAAGAATGCTGATCAATTATTATCCCACAGAACCAATTACAAAAGATGCTACCCACCTCCTGACAGAGGCAATGACTTCATGTGTAGAATGAGGAACATTTTTTGCAAGAATTTTTTAGGGGACAAGAAAGAAAAAATAAATGCTTGATAATTGAAAAAAAGAATTTTTTAGAAGTTGGGTGCAGCCTTCCCCTTTGTGTGGTGAGGGGCCCACAGTTGTTACACACCACAATTATTTTTGGACTTTCAATGTGTTGATCAGTTGTGCTGATTTTTTTTCCTCTCTAAAAATACTATTTGTCATATGGGAAGATGAGGGATACTTGTTCTTTGGGAGGTGGAGGAGGAGGGACACTTGGGATAATCATGACGATGTAAGAAACAGAAAATATCAATAAAAACTTTTTTTAAATAGTAAAATTTTTAACATTGGGCATTATAATATGAAGCATTCTTGGGATGGGAGTGTGGAAATTGGGAAATGGGGAAGATATGAAATCAAGGCTTAGAGAATACTGGTGTTTGGTTTCCTGGAAAAAAAAATCTTTCTTCCAAATGAGCCAAAATGTTTCCCAGGGAATAATTACTTAATTCAAAGATGCCTTCTACTAAAAATGGCAAACTTCAGAGACTACTAAGGAAAACAGTTTCAGGAAAAGACACCCAATGTGTCTAACAGGCATAACATGTACTACCTCTTCCCAAAACAGCTTAGGTCCTGAAATTGCTTTGCAATAATTTGATTATGATATTCATGTTGAAAAACTGGTTTGGCTGAGTCAAAGTCTGTGGATTTATGAGTTTCTTGGATGTGGCTGAAAATGCCCAGGTTGAATTTGCCATGGAAATATTCCCACAGTCCATAGGCTCCATATTAGGCTCCTTGAAGGCAGGGAGGGATTGTTCTGTTTTGTCTTTGTCTGAATGTATTTTTAATTGAACAATATGATAAGGGCTGGGACTGAGGGGCAGGACCGTTGCATATGGGCATCTGAAGGATGAGATGAGTCTGAAAGCCAAAGCATCAGAGGATCAGAGATGCAGGGCTACACCAGACCTTAGCAGCCAAGTAATCCAAATCTCCTTATTTTGCAGAGGGGGAAAGTGAGACCTGCATAGGTTAAGTGACCTGGTCAGGGTCACACAAGCTAGCAAGTGCACTGCCAGGATTTGGGATGGTGGAATGCAGATGCTATTATCACGTTCCAAACCAATTTATTGTATTAGTGACATCAAAAGCTCATGTTGTCAGTCAAAAAGTACCAGGATTCCCTGAGTGTGGTCACTTCTACCTTTGATTAAAAATGATTTTCAGTTTTAAAAAAATACATTAAACTCAGTGGCCACTAAGTGTTGAGTTTTTAGGATAAAGGCTGAAGGCAATAAAAATTCAAAGAAATAGAATCAGCCAATATTTGTGAGACAGAAAATATTTGCATTTTTGCCCGGGCATTAAAAGCATTGACTTGCCCATGGTCCTACAACTTTTATGAGTATAAGGCAGGACCTGAACCCAAATTTTCCTGATTCTCAGGCCATCCTCCACCCACCACACCACCCTGTGTTTCAGAGACCGAGTTCATTTACACAACAGACACAAACAAAATTATATGGTGGTGATAAATCCAGGTGAGGGTAAAAAACACTAAAAATGTTACTTGTGTACATGGGTGCCTATGTTTTGAGATATTTGATGACTGACACTAGTTTTTAATATACCATTTGCTAAAAAAAGAATAATGTAATTAAACTATGTAGATGAAACATGCATACATTTTAGTTGATAGTTGATTAGCTGGATGGAAGCTAAAATAAAAGGACACAGAATATGTTTTCAGTCTGCAAGTCAAAAGCACCAGGGCGTTACTTCATTTGTAAAGAAAGCTGATAGGAGAAAAGGAAGAAAACAAGGTGGACACACACACACAACCCACATGGGAGTAGACTTGTTAGAACTTCTCAAGGCTTATTTCCATCTCTGCAAAACAGATTCATAATAAAAAGAAGAACATGAATCCCAAGCTTCCTAAAATACCAGTTAGATGCCTATAGAAATAGAGAAAAGTAGATCTGGAACAAGTCCACAGTGGTTTATAGCGTACTGTTAATGAGAAAGTTTCAGTCAAATGCCTGAAAAAGGAACAAAGATGTTCTCATGCCTGTTAGTACAACATTCCTGAACGACATCCATGAAGACACGCCTCTTCTTCCTGTGGCCTGGGTGCTATTCGCACTCCTGGAGAGAGTGCCCACACCAGTGAGGTCTGAGACCCACGAAGAACAGGATTATCTGTAATGGGAATATGAGGCAGCAACCATGACAGACAGGTTTGCCTGTGGTTATATAAAAATGATCCGATTCCATTTTTACAAATGTTCTAGAACCGACACCCGACGTGTCCAAATAGGCAGCCGCCTTGTGGCCAAACGCAGTACATCCACATCTCAGAACCTTTTCAGAGGGCTTCCCATTGGACTGTCCCTAGGATTGGGGCAGAAGAAAACTCAGGCCCTGATGTCATACCTAACTTTTAATCAAGAATGGTGTCACCTAGCTTGGCCATCCACCCCATTCACTGGACTTGGCTCCAAAAACTGAATCTATCCTGAAAGAATGGAGATTTGCCACCACTGAGGAGACTGAAAAGATGTGGGAATGTGTTTTGATGGAACTTTCAGAAGAGGAGTTCAAGAACAGTTCAAATAATGATGGCACCAGTGAGTTCATGTTATGGCCTCCCAAAGGGAAGATTTTGAATGAGACAACAATCATTTGGCTATCTACACTCCGGTACATGAATTAAAAAAAAAAGGCAGTCACTTTATCTTATAGATATTCCTTCTACCTCAACTCTACTAAACTTGGTGGGTGGCTACATAGAATTGACAGAAGGGGGCCTGAGTGGTGATTACACATTCTTCCAGGTTACTGGGGAGTACAGTAGGCTGGAGAAGAATCACAGGATTGTGGTGGGCAGCTGAGAGTGTGAGGCCAGAACACAGGTAGACAGGTGCCTCTGCCTCGGATTTGGTGGGTTCCCAGTCACTCGGCAAACCTGGCAGAGTTTGTCATCAATATTTATCTTTAATGTGCCACCAGGTGATCCCTACGGTTGTGAAAGAGATTTATCACAATATCAAAGCTAAGAAAACAATTCTCCCCCTCCCTCCAAAAAAACCACCAAAGCTACCCTAACACTAATCTGGACAAAGTAGAGGAACAAACTTTTAAGTTTAATCTCTAACAATGAAAATTCTTTCTATATTGTGGCATTTATAGAGAGAGATAATTCAATTATGCATCAACTGTCAGGTAGAGGGCTAAGTGGCATGCTAAGATTTCAGGAACAGCCTTGTGAAAATGAATTCAATGGCTTCAAACAGATACTCATTATATGCCAATTTTGAGGCCAAAAGGAATAAATATCTGGAATGTCTGTGCCTGGTGTCTCTCATAACCCTCATGGTTTTTTTTTTAACTAGGTAAGAATTGTCAAGGTATCCTCACTTTTCTATTTGCCATTCATTTGTAACTGGATAGAAATTAATTTGGGTGGGGCTTTAAAATACTGTTGGACAACCAGCAGTTCTGATAGGGCACAAATTCATTGGTTCATGTAACACATATTCCTTGGGAGCCGACTGCTACATGTTTGATAGAGAAGTGAAAGTTGGGATTTTCTCACGATCTGATTGAGGGAAGATGAGCATGAGGGAAATATTTTAGCCACAACCCAAGGCAGTACAAGATTGAATGTCAAAATGCATGAAGACAGAAAGGAGGGACCAGTGTGGGCTAAAACAAAGGAAAGAGAAAGTAAGATCAGGTGAATCTTGAAGAATGGGATGGTAACTGGATAGACTGAGAGGCACGGGAAGACATTCCAGTGAGGGCAAAGACCCAGCACAGGAGGGATTATCCCCATTTTGCATTTTTACCCATTTCTCCTTCTTTTCATGCATGGATCACGGGATCAGAGATTCAGAGCTGGAAGGGACATTAGGTGTCATTTGGTCCAACCTCATCATTTTATTGATGCCTAGTGAAATTAAGTGGCTTATGTATCATTACACAGTTAGAATTTGAACTCATGTCTTCCTTGCCTCAAGTCCAGGGGAAGTTAAAGAAGAGGAGAGGAAGTAACATTCTATGTGATCTCATGAGTTCTTTTATTTTCTCTTTTAGAAATTTGTGTTGGAATCATATTCAAAGTCTGAATAATGTTGACTGAGTCATGAGGATGAAATGCAAACAATAACAACGGCAAAAAAAAACCCCAACCCCAGAAGCAGACTCGTGGCAAATAAAGTAGGAAAACTCAGCAGAGAGTTATAGAGATGTGGACACCAGAACAGCAGCTACTGATGCTCCTTTTGCTTCTTCTCCTTCTGTGGAAGACAATCCTTCCTTTCTCTTCCTCCCAACTTACCTTTAGGGGGTGCAGATTCTCCCTCCTTCTCTTTACTTTGTTCTGCATAGAAAGTACAAAGAAACGTTTGAGAGGATCTTAAAATAATGGAAAACATTTGTAATTCTAGGGCTAGTAAGAAAAAGGAAAGCCAATGATCATCATCACCATCATCATCATCATCATCATCTTCATAGCACCTACTGTGTGCCAGGCACTGTGCTAAGCACTTTGCAAATATTATCTTATTTGATCCTCACAACAATCCTGAAAGGTAGGTGCTGGTCTTATCCCCATTTTACAGATGAGGAATGTGAGGCAAACAGAGATTAAGTGATTTATCCAAGGTCACACAGGTTGAAAAGATCAGAGCAAGGCTCTGAACACATGTATCCTGACTCTGGGTCCAGCCCTCTTGTCACATAAGTCCCCTTGGTGCCTCCATTTTAGGAGGTGGGGATGAGGATGGAGTACATTCCAAGCATGCAGGACAGTCCGTGCAGAGACCTGGTAACACAATCCAAGTGCACCCTAAAGAAAAGATTAACCCACCAGAAGGTCCAGACTGGGTCCTCAGAATAATAGTGTAGAATGGAATTCTGCATGAGTCAGATTCACATGCTCTCTTCCCCTCCCCCAACCCCAGCCCAAAGGGATTCAGTTACTGAAGCATTAACAGAACTTTTTTTTTCCCCCATTCAAGGCTGTCTTCTCCATACAGTGGTCACATAGCATGGCATCTGAGGACTATGTCATGGTAGATGCCAGCGTACGGCATCCAGCAAGAACGGTGGGAAAGGCCACAGAGGACAGAGGGCAGAACTAGCCCTGAAGTCAGAGGAGTAAGGTTCGAATCTTCCTTCTGATGCTTGTACGTAGGTGACCTTGGGCAAGTTATCCCACCTGGGCTTCGGTTCTCTAATCTTTGATATTGGAGTTGGACTCTTGGGCCAGGAATGTCCCTTCCAATTCTAAACCAGTTTTTCAGTCCCTACGTGCAGCAGTGCAGCAGTGCAGCAGTGACAGTCTGTTCCTTTTGGACAACAAACAGGCCATCCCACTTTGAACAGCTGACTGTTCGCTGGCCTGTGTGGTATCTTTCAGCTCGTAGACCTAGGAGCCTAAGAACCCCACCTCGGATACACGTGCTAGCTGTGTGTCACCCTGGGCAAGCCCCCTCTCCGGTCTGAACCTTTGTTTCCTTCTCTGTAAAACGAGAGCGATGATGGCAGCTCTCACAGGGTCACAGAGGAACATCGGCGTAGAGCTGGAGGGAAGCGTGCCCCTCATCTAGCCCAATGGCTCCCTTTTGCTTTTAAGGAAAATGAGGCATTTGTGAAGCTCAAATAAGATAATGGACATAAAGTGTGTTACATGAGCTGTTGTGCATGTCTCTGGACATCACAAGAAAATGCTAAGTGATGTGTCAATAAGGCTAACTTCAGATTTCATTGTTATTTAGCCTATCACTTCTCAGTCTAATTTTATCTAGCTTATCTCTCTGATGTAGGTTTTATTTTTAAACAGCTGAAAATTCAACTTTTTGGACTTGACCTGTGATTTCATAGGTTTAGAGACATCCCAGGGACAAAAACCACTCATCCAAGTGGCACTTGCCTTATGATTTATCATCTTAGATAGTTGCCTGGGGCAGAGAGTGGTTGCAAATGAATCGTGCGGGGTTGCATAGCCAATATGTGGGAGAGGCAGGACTTGAACCCAGGCCTTTCTACCTCCAAGGCCAACTTTCTGTCCACACAATGCACTTCCTTTAGTAAAGGTTTCCTAAATATAGAAAACAGAGACTAGAAAGATAAGCCAGCTGCCTCCACTAACGGCCTCCTCAGCTGTCTCCTGGCACAGTGGCGACCCTAAGACCTCAAAGGCTATGCCAGCAGGGCCCAAGCCCTGGGTGATCTTACCGAGAGCCTACCATGCTTCCAGCAAGGGTTGGCAAGAGATCACTGCAACTTCTGAAGACATAGAAAGGTCACGATGGTCACTGGTGAAGGGACTCCCCATACCAGTGGACCTCTGAGGGATGAAGGCATATTAGACAGCTTCCATTATTACTTGGCTCAAATGATGAATGCCATTGTCCAGTTTCTTCCACCCAAGCCTTCCTCCAGTGCCTCATCTCACTAAAGAGGCAACTGTGGGCTTTCGAAGGGCAATGAAACACAAGCTCTGGAAAGTCCAGTCCAAGCCCAGACACAGGGCTTCAAGCATTTCAATCCTCATAATACTCTCTGAGTTATTATGATGTCCCATTTTACAGTTGGAAAAATGGAGGCTGAGAAAGATGGCATGCCTTGCCCATGGTCATAAAGCCAGTCGTATGCATGAGAGGCAGGGGCTGAACAGTAAGTCAGCCAGGCTGGGATCTGATATTCTATTGATTACATGCCTTCGACGAATGCTGCCAAAATCCTGTACTATTGATATGTCAAAGTATTATCTGGGTTATGTTTGCATTGTAATTAGAGGCAATTCTCTAGAAGATTTAAGTTCCAGAAAAGGTGCTGATCTACAGATAGAAGAAAATCCTTGCTGGGAGCTCCCTACAAGGATGACTGATGGGTCTAGCCAAAAATTGTGTGCACGCACTTATGTCCATATGTGTGTACGTGTGCAGAGTGGGATGACTTATCCATGCTCTCACAAAGATCACCGGGCAGCCCTAAGTAAGAAACACAAAAAGAAATCTTATTTTGGTGTCAGCCACACAAGTTAAAAAAAAAAAAAGCAACCCAAAGGCAAAGGTTATGTCTGTACCGACCTCTAGGAGCTGAGTGTGGCATGATGGGGGCAGAAATAAATCATGCCTTCTTTGGAAGGCAGGATGTCTGTCAGGTGGAGAAAATATCCATGGGAGTAAGAGGATCCTGGAAAGAAGTGCAACACCTCTCCAGGCTCCAAAGTAGGTTATTTACGAGGTCTGGTTTAAAGTAACTTAGATTAAGACGTGTCATTTACGGTCTTCTAATGATCAGTTTGGCACATAATGATATCCTATCTTGTGTTACCGTGAGGGCAGCATGATGTGGTGAACAAAGGGAGGCCCTCAGAGGAGGTTTGGATCCCACTTCTGACACAAGCTGGATGTGAGATCCGGGCCAACTCTGTCAGCCGAAAAGTTGTTCTGTATCGACAGAGGGAGTTTTCTCACTGGGAGTTCCCTACATGGATGAAATCATAAGCCCCAGATCCCTGCAAAATGTGTATTGCTATGGCAAGGTTTCTCTTGCTTTATTTTTCCCAACTGGATTGAGAAATTCCTGTTGGTGTTGAAATTTCCCAAATATTTGGATTTAACCAAATGGCCTCTAAAATAGAGGCACTAAACCCACAGACACTTCCGAAGGAAAGGTAGCTAGAAACTCAGATTAGATTAGCTAAAGCATCTATTAGTGCCAGGCACTGCACTAACCCTTGGGAATAAATATAATAATCAAAAGGAAAGTCTCTGTTTTCAAGGGGTCTTACATTCTGAAGTGGAAAGACAATGCGTGAAACAAGCCGAGAATAAGGGGGAAAGCTAAGAAGTTACTTCGTAAGCCCCATCAGCCCACAGTGTTCTTGACCAACATTAACAGTGATAACTTTATAATTAATAGTTGGTTTAATTAATAGTATAATTAACAGTAGCTGGAAGGAGCCTGAGGGATCAATCTCTTTCTTCAAATTTTTATATTCACTCATCTGGGTAAATGTTGGAATGGAAGCTCCCTGAGGACAGGGGCTGTTTTCCAGTTTTGTCTTTGTGTCCCCATTGACCAGCACAGGGCACATAGTAAGCCCTTAATCCGTGTTCACAGAGTTGAACTGAACTGAACTGAGGTGTAGAGAAGAAAAGTGATTTGTCCAAGGTTGATCAGTGGCAGAGCTGGGACCGTATCTCCTCCTCTTATATTATTTAATTCCAGCCTTGCAAAACTTTCCACGAATCTCTGTCTTATCTCCACGGCATACTCAGAATCAGAATCATAGAGTCATAGAATTTTGGAGTCGGAAGGAGCTCAGTGCCATCCAGTTCAGCCCATACTGGAAAGGAATCCCCACTAGAACTGACCTGATCTGATTAGTAGCCAGTAGATTCTGCCTGAAGCCCTCCAAGGAAGGGAGCTCAGCGCCTCTTGAGGTGGCCCATTCCACCTCTGGACTAATTGTGCCACATCAAATCTACATTTGCTTCTTTGCAACTTCCGCCCGTTTCTCTGCCTTCTACACAGCGCTCCTCCAGATCCTTGACGACAGCTGTCATCTCCTCCCTGAGCCTTCTTTTCTCAAGTCCCTTCTAATGATCCTTTGATGATATGGACTCAAGACTCAAGACATCAACATGGTTGACCTCCTCTGGCTGCTCTCCAGCTGGTCAAGGCAGAATACCAAAGCTCTAGCCCCTTCTGATTCCTGAAGGCTGTGCCTGTGTTAACGTGGCCCCAGACCATATTCTCTTTTTTGGCAGTCACAGCATATTGCTGACTCATATGGAATTTGCCATCCACTAAAACTCCTAGATCTTTTTCTTTGCATACTGCTGTCTACATCCTGTGCTCATGCAGTTGATGTTTTGATCCCAAGTGTTTACATTTGTCCCTATTGAATTCCATCTTGTTAAGTTCAGTGCAACACTCTAAATCTTTTTTTTTTTTTTGGTGGCTAGGCAATGGGGTTAAGTGACTTGCCCGAGGTCACACAGCTAGTAAGTGACATGTGTCTAAGGCCACACTTGAACTCAGGTCCTCCTATGTCAGGGCCGGTGCTCCATTCACTATGCCACCTAGTAGCCCCTAAAGTGCTCTAGATCTTGACTGACATCCAGTTAAGTGTGATCTGCACAGATGATCATGTCATCTATGCTTCTATAAAAATGTTTAACAGTACATAGCCAAACTCAAATCTCTCTGTCACTATTTGGGTGACCTTGGGCAATTTGTTTAATCTCTCCGAGACTTGATTTCCTAACATGTAAAATGAAGGTCTGTTCAGATGGTCTCTAAGGTCCCCTAGGGCTCCAGATCTACAAATCTATGATCCCTGGGGCCCTCCACTGGAGACCTCCTGTCCTGCTGTCACTGAACCATTGAGGATCACTCCCGAGTGAATCCTTTACTTAGAAGCCACCCAGTGGCATTATCAGCTACTCCATACCTCTCCCTCTTCTCCCCAAGACTGGCATGGGGTACATTGTCAAAGGCTCTGCTAAAATCTAGCAGCATCCCCCTGAACCCTGTTGTTGTTGTTTGGTCTTTTTCAATTGTAAGCAACTCTTTGTGACCCAATTTGGGGTTTTCTTGGCAAAAGATACTGGAGTGGTTTGCCATTTCTCTCTCTGGCTAATTTTACAGAAAAGGAAAGTGAGGCAAACGGAGTTATGTGATTTGCCCAGGGTTACACAGCTAGCAAGTGTCCAGGGTTGGATTTGAATTCAGATCTTCCTGACTCGAGGCCACCCAGCTTCCCCTACCTGTTCGGAAACACTGTTGAGAGGATGAGGCAATTCTGGAATGACTTATTCTTGATGGAGGCACACAGGCTTTTTGTAGGCAATGCTTCCTTTTCTAGATGCTCAGTAACCATCTCTTTAAAGACCCATCCTAAAATTTTCCCAGGAATCTAAGTCAAGCTAATTACTTTAGAATAGGAAGACTCTTCTCTTGCGTTTTTAAAAAAATCAGTACAAAATTTGTCCTTCTCCAGTTCTGCAGCACTTTATCTGTCTTCCATCATTTTTCAGTTGCATCCCCCAGTTCTTTCCGTCTGGGCTAGGTGACCTGGTTCATCAGGGGAAGCTAGGTGCTCTCTCACTGCTCCCTTACTCATCTCGTGCATCTACTTGCTGCTGGTCTCAGCTCCGCTACCCACTGTGTGACCCTGGAGCAAACCATTTCCCCTTCCTGGGGATTAGTCCCTGCCTTCGAGGAGCTTATGTTCATCATTTTAGCAGTTATCTACGCAATAAGCGCTGCACAAGAACAGGCTGGTCTTTGGGCAGGGTCCAAAGGAAAAGCACTGTGTGCTTGGGTACGGCTTTCTTTGCTTGTTTAGGTGACGTCCTGGTGTGCTCATCACAACCCTACCTAAGTTAACAGCCTCAAGAAGCACCACCACAAACCATGCATGTGAGGGTCATCACCAAAAGCACATTAGCTGAAGGAGGACAAGGACGTCCTGCCACAGAGCTGGCAGCACTGGAGGGGGAGAGCAGAGACATACCCTGTATACAGGGTGACGTCGCTGCTGAGGAGGCTGCTGAGATTGGGGAAGGGCCTCTCTGGGATCCTTGTAGATGATCTAACTCCTTATTCTGCTTGCACAGGCATCATGGCAGAGTAGACAGTGTTGGGCTCAGAGCCAGGAAGACCTGGGTTCAATTCCTACCTCTGATACCTACTGACTATATGACCCTGGGCAAGTCACTTAACTTCAGTGTCCTGGGCAACCCTCTTAGATGATGAGTTGCAAAGAAGGTGCTGAACTCCATTGGTAAAAGTAATTTCATTGCCCAGGAATTCCCCATATTAATGAAATGGTAGATCTAGTACTTATCTCCTTATCCCTCTAATCTTACTAGTTAAGTGTTAAGCTCAGTTGTTTCCATGCTGCAAGTAATATCAGAACCCTCTACATTCATCACCTCAGGTCAAAGCCCTGACTGCCCCTTCCTAGTTATGTCTCTGGTTCACGATACCTTACAAAATCAGCCATAATTCCTTCACAGTAGTTAGCTCTCAGTTGGCAGATAAATGTGGCAGCCAGTGCAGGTGAAAAACATTTGGATGGGTGGGTTAATTGCACAGACCAGCTAACAACTCACCATGCAGCACATTCACTCACCTTCAGGAGGTGGGGCTGGTGCTTCATTTTCTGGAAATTGAAAAAAAAAAGTAGTGAAGTTACTAGGCTTTGTTGACAAAGGGAAAAGCTTTAATTCAAGGTCACGCACACTTAGAGCTCAGTCTTAGCTCTAGATAGCCATATTACTTAGGTGTTCCACTGACAGGGACTTGGTAGGAGGCAGAGGCAGCTCAGCGTACTTGTTTTTTATTCCTTTATTCGTTATTCCTGAAGCACCAACTAAAAATATACCAATCAATATGTCTAAGGCATACATTACTATGGTGAACTGATAGTCAATATGTTATAACTGAAAGACTAGTAGACTTGGAGTCAGGAGAATCCTAAGTCTGACTTCCACTATGGATGCATTCGTGGGACTATAGGAAAGTTGTTTAAATGATCTATGCCCCAGCTTCATCATCTGTGAAATGAGAATAAAAGTATGTTAAATACTTGTCTCATAGAGGTATTGTGAAGCTCAAATGAGGTAACAGTTACAAAATACTTTACAAACTTTAAAGCATATTTATATTGATGTTAGCTATTGTTATCATAGATTCAGTGAGTGATTGCTTTGGTGAAAAGATTTATTTTCACAGGAAAATGGTAGCTCTGTTAAGGAATGCTCAAAAGTGAGGAGGGGGACTCCAAGACCACACTTCTGCAGGCGGAGGGAGAAGCGCACCCCTCTTATGGCCAAGGAGAGAACCCTTTGAGATAAATGGTTTGGGACACACGTTTGCATGCCACCTCCCTATCTACATGAGAGATTATTTTAGAAATGGTGAGCAGACATTACATCAAAGCCGCTAGACAGAACGGCTTCCTCTTCTCTTCCATCTGCTGAGCGCTGGAGGAGTCTTCAAGCCCCTCCCTGGAGGGGTTGGTGTAGGGCTGCTCCCTACCCTAGGGGAAGTGGCAAACCATGGACACACGGAATCTCAAGCCCTGGACCTTGGGTCCTTTGCCGCCACTTCTGTTTCGTTTCTTTCCCTTGTACAGGTGACTAAAGAGTGATTTTGAGATGGGCATGTCCAACTTTGGAAGCAACCTTGTGAATTTAAGACGTCCGGAGATCTTGGGGTACCTTGGCTGGAGCTGACTGAGAGCAGGGGGAGTTTCTGCTTTGGAGTGAATGCCTACCAGTAAGACAAGGAGCTCAACCCCTGGGCCAGGCTTGCCACTAAACTAAGCTTCCAGCAGGCCAGCAAAACACCAACAAAGAGGACAAAAGAAGGTTACATGAAATTAAAAGGAGTGGTCCTTGGAAGTCCAGGAGCTAATAACCAAAAAGAGGATGGCAGTGAGGTATTTAGCCAATTCTAGAACAGGTGGTCGCAACAGTCAATCTCTTTATGAGGTGCAAATTATTTCCTTGAATGAATCAGAAAGGATTCCTGCATAGTTTCAACTTGACCTATTTAAGCAAGATTTTGACTCTGATTAATCGGAAATGAATAAAAGTAAAAACATTGACTTTGATTATCACCCTCTGAGATTACATTGAAACACATGGTGTCCAGAACACAGGAGGTCTTATACTCTGCTCTGGTCAGATCACACCTAAAATGCCGTGTTCAGTTCTGGCTGCCACATTTTAGGCCGGATACCGACAAACAAGAAAGCATTGAAAAGACAGCAACCAGGATGGCAAAAGGACTAGAGAACATGCCCTTTAAAGATCAGGTGAGAGTTCAAAGAACGTTTAACTTGGATAAAGGAAGAGTTAAGGGAAACACGAAAGATTCCTCAAAGTATTTGAAGATCTATCTTGTGGAAGAAGAAGAATTTTTCTACTTGTTCCCAGAGTACAGAGCTAGGAACAATAGGTAGCCAAGATTTTAGCTCATAATGAGGTGCCTGACAAAGTGTCATGTTCCCCACCAGTGGATATCTTTATGGGAAGGCTGAATGATTTCTTACTGGAGAGGTTGCAAAGGGGATAGCCTCTGAAGGTCCCCTAAACTCCAGCCATTCTGTGAAATTATGTGGTACTTTCATTGATTCCAAGCTATCTTGTGCTATAAAAATAAATAAGATATATTTTTTCAACACCAATATTCTCCCAACGATGCCATATGGCCATTAATCATAGGATATCATGATCTCAGAAGAGTAAAAACGTCAGGTGACCCAAAAAGCAACAAAAAGAGGAGTGGTCCGTGAAAATGGTTGTACAATGTTACTAATAATGATTTGTATGTGATAAATGATGTAAAAGATGTTGTATTCACATGGATGATTAGAAAAGGATGTGGGCAAGCCCTTTTATTAGAGCACGGGTTCTTAACCGCTATTGTGTCATGGACTTCTTTGACAATTCTCTGATGAAGCCAAAGGACTCTTTTTCAGAATAACTTTTTTTCTTCAAAATTCATAATAAGGAAATGCTAAATTTCAGTTAGGGGTTAGTGAAAATAAAAATGGAATATCTTCACCATCCAAGTTTATGAAACCCTTGGAGTCTAACCATTGACTCCTTGTGGTTAATGACCCTAGGTTAAGAACCACCTAAGTTAGAACAAGAAATAACAGATGGGCAGCCCAAGTACTATGTAAATACAATTTTAAAAGAGTTCTGTTGGACTAGTGTAATTGGGTAGATCATTTATGTAGAATTCATGAAGGATATGGACAAGAATCACAAAAGATGAGAATATAAGGATAGAATGCAATCTGCACTATTATAGGGGATACTGAGACTGATGATATCACGAATATACTGAAGTCTGGAAGTAAGTAAATGAAACAATGAAGTTTTAAAAAATACACATATTTTCCTGGATGAAGCAGAGTGATTTAATTCACTTCTTTGGAGATGTAGACATTTATCTACTACAGTATTATGTACACAATTGTCACTTTCTGAAGGTGATAGAGAACTTGGCCATGAGTCACCACTCATTTCAATCTCTGTCTTTTACTATGCACACTTATTAATTTATAAACCTTTACTAACCATAACCACTCTGTTATACAAAGAAAGAAATGATCCCAACTGGTTTGTACCATTTAAAGGCAATTTTTCAATGGACAACTTGGGGGTTTGGGGGGAGGGGCTTGGGGAAGGTTTTTTTTTTCTCTTCTAAATTACTAGACAGGTTTAGTGGTTTAAATTTTGCCTTAGAAATGGAACTGTGTCACATTCCACTCTATGAGCCTGTCCATGGGAATGCTGTTATTTCCAAAGATCTAATAAGAACAGAACTTTCTCACACTTGTTGAATAGCTCCAGATGTACTGAACAGGTGAATCTGTGAAACCTGAGTAGGCCAACTGCTGAACTGATTTCAGAGAGGAGAGGAAGATATGCAGTACTTGGGGAAAAGGATGGTGGAATGTGGAAAACAGAAGGAAACCAGCGATGAAAGCATAGCTTTCCTGTGATTATTACATAAGCCAACTAACACTCAATCGTTTAACCCAAAGGAATGCTAAGCAGGATCCTAACAGCCTGATCTCACCTCGTTCACACTTTGCTGCTTACCCAATGTTTTTTCTATTTATGACTATTGCTAGGGCAACAGGCCAGTATTTGGTAATTAATTCTTACCTCATATAGCTTTGCTTTGCCCAATTATCAGATATTTTTGTATTTGTGAAATGTTTTTGGTTTTTTGTTTTGTTTTTAGAGATTACTCTTTACATTAAACTGCTCTTCAATTAACAAAGATTTATTTTCTTTCTCTCCCACTGTCCTCCTCTCCACCCCCCATCCAACTAAGAAGGGAAAAGTAAAAACAAAATCCTTGTAACCAATAACTCAGAGCTAAGCGCTATTTGGGGGGCTGTGGGCCAATAATGTCCAATCATTTATTTTTTAAAAGATTACTTTTATTTGAAGGTTCCCCAGATCTTAATGCGGGCTATGTACCGTTTGTTTCATATTCTATAGTAAACTGACATTCTTTGCACATTTCTTTTAAAATTCTAATAGATTTAGAGCTGGAAAAAGATGCCAGAGGTCATTTAATCCAGCCCCTTCATTATACAGATGAGTAAACTGAGTCAGAGAATTTAAATGACTCCTCCAGGATCATGGAAGTTGTCAATAAGAGAGCTGGGATTTAAACCCAGATCCAAAGGCACTAAATCTTGGGCACCCCTTAATTCTAGTGTCTTGCCTCTGTTGATCATGTCTCATTTACCTTGCGTGTAGCTTGTTTGTACAGAATTGTTTTGTTTGCTTTAGACTGTGAGCTCTTTGAGAGCAGGGACCGGCATTTACCTTCCTTGTATAGCCAGCACTTATCTCCTGGAACAAAGCAGGCACTTAATAGATGTTTATTGACTGACTGACCTTTCATTGCACCACATTGTTCTGCTTCTCCCCACCCCCAACATATTCTTACGATGACTCACTGGAGTGGACTAGCCAGGCCGCTCTGTGAAAACACAGGCTCTTCATTTGGGGTTCACAGAGAAATTCCACGGGTCAATGAACTTGGATGCAAAAAAAACCCCTAAAAGCCTACATCATTATTGTCACTAACCTCTAACTGAAATTTAGTATTTTGTTCAATCATTTAAAACCATGATTCTGAGGAGTCCAGATGCCGAGGGATCTCTGCATGGTTAATAATGCCCACATTAGAGATCATTCCAGTAGAGCACAAAATCTCACAGGTCCTACCAAGTTAAAGACCTTCAGGTACAGACAATCTGACCCCAAGATGGACCACAGTACCATGACCAGCTTTTCTTGGTCTAGAGAAACCCATGACCAGAGTGATCTTGGGGTGATGAATTTTTTGGTCCCAGAAACTCTTTAAGACCAGTTACTAAGTTGTCCAAGAGATGCAAACCAAGATGTCTTGGTGAAGGGAGTGCCCACACCAAAAAACTCATGGATCCTTAGAGTATTAGCAGAATCTACTCTAATATTTCCTGGACCATAGATCAAGAGATGGGTGCTTGCAAGAATTCATCAGGTACATATGCAACTTCTAAGATGATCACAAAGAAGTATACGAAGCCATAAAGGCAGACAGAAAAAAATGTAACCTACCAGCCCAGCAGGAGACAGA